TCCCTTGCACAGCTCTATAGTGGTGAGGTGCCTGCCCTGAGCCATCCTATCTAGTAGCTCGTCTATACGGGACATGGGATATGCATCTGAGACAGACTTGTCATTGAGACTCCTGTAGTCCACACAGAACCGGGTGGCTCCGTCTCGCTTTGGGACGGTTTGATCACCCCCAGTCGGAGCATCTGCTGAATCTCCGGTTTCATATTCTCCCTACCCGCCTCTGGGATCTGGTATGGGGTTTATCTCAGGTTGTTGGTCGTGGGGGTTTCTACCTTGTGGGTGGTAAGGGGGGTTTCACCCAGGTTGGAGAAAGTCTCCCTCTTCACAGACAGCAGTGGCTGCGCTTGCCTGCATTCCTGCTCAGTCAGGCGGTCTACCAGGTGGACCTCATCTATGGACCCTGCCAAAGCTCCCTCCTCCAGGAGGTCAGGCAGGGGAAGATTATCAAAATCTTCCGTGGAGGGCGCACATAGAGCGGTTACCTCCTCTGTCCGCTCCCAGTAAGGATTCAGCATATTAACATGTAATATGCATCTTACTCCTGTACCTGAGCAAGGGGCTGGTCCATTACCCGGTATAGGTCCTGCCGGGCAGCCTGTCATATTGGACAGGCTTTAGAACCAACCCCTTCTGAACGACTTAAAAGCTGCGGCTCCTAGCTCCCTTATTGTGCCTGGTGCACTGGCGTCTCGGGGCTGCCTGGAGGTTCACACGTACCAGGTGAGTGAGGTTGTCCATCTTGTCCCTAAACTCCAGTACATAAGGGACGATGGGAGTCCCTTCCTGTTCCCGTTTTCCCTCAGTGTTCTCGTACCAGGTCTGAGGGACTCATAACCCGCCGCCTAAAAAGCAGTGCGAACGGAGAGAATCCTGTAGATTCCTGGGGCACCTCCTGATAAGCAGGAGACGCGGCAGGAATCTCTCCCAATCCCAGTCGTCGCAAAGGTATGGAGCATCTGCTTCAACGTATAGTTGAATCGCTCGCACAGGCCATTAGTCTGGGGGTGGCATGGGGCGCTCAGGATTGGGTTAATGCCGCATAGCTGCTGAGTTACCTCGGCAGTGAACTGGGTGCCCCAGTCCAAGATGATCTCCCGGGGAAAACCTATCTGGGAGAACACTTGCATCAGGGCTTCGGCCACAGTGTCTGCCTGAATGTTGCTCAGGGCGACTGCCTCGGGGTACAGAGTAGCATAGTCCACGATGGTCAGAATCTCCCATGTCTTGAAGAATTTCCCTATGTGTTTCTCTTTTGAGCCCACTGTATTTAGCCAGTCCATATGGAACACATGTACTAGATAATTTTTTTTATTTTATTTTTTATAAGAAGCAAGGAAAGTGGAGGGGGGGAGGGTATGGAGAACTGGGCTTATCCAGACATACAATCTTTTTTTTTTTTTTTTTTTGCTACAGCTGCTAGAATGGGAACTATTTTTTTTTGTGTGTGGATGTGGCAGTATGAGATCAAATAGTGCAAAGGGGTCCGTGAAGGAAATAAAGAAATGAGTGGAGACCGTAGGTTAGTGGCATAACTTTGTCCAAAATTGTGATCTGAGAAACAGGACCCCCAAAAAATACCAGCCATTTTGTAGCAATTTCTTGTGGGTGAGATAGCCATGTGCATGTAGCAAAAAGGTGATATATGTATGCCTAGTGTAAGATTTTAGGACCATTTTTCCGTATGGTTCTTTGGAAGCATAAGTTCAGAAGTACAAAAATGCCAGACTAAGTCTGTCAAGTCAATTGTAGGTATGTGCTATTACCCCTGGTTGACATCAGTGGATTATTGCAGTGGGTCTAGATGTAGAGACTATGTTTTCAATATGATATATATTGTTTCAAATGAACTTTCTAAAGACTTGAAACAATTTTCTTCTGTATTCATAATTTGTTTGGGGGCTTTTTGCTATTGGTCTTATTCACAAAACTCCAAATTGTTGCAAACTGAAATGTAAATAGCAAAATGTAAACTACATTTGTTAAGCTGTGGCTATAGCTGGGCTGAAGAATTTTTGTAGATTAGCTTTTGTTGGCCATTATATTACATTTGATTTCTGGAGTTTATTGCATAAACAATCAAAAATCCCAGTTGTGGTTCTGGTTCTTGTATCATTTGTTAAAAATAAACTAAAAACTAAAAAAAACTACTTGATTTATTGTATCCAATAGCAGTTCTTTGATATTAAATATCTATTTTATTGGCATTTCAGAGAAGCAGAAATAGAGGACCTTAAGTCTCAGCTGGCCCGTATGAGAGAAGACTGGATTGAAGAAGAGTGCCATAGAGTTGAAGCCCAACTTGCCCTAAAGGAAGCGAGGAAGGAAATAAAACAGTTAAAACAGTTTATTGAAACCATGAAAAACAGCTTAGCTGAGAAAGATAAAGGGATCCAAAAATATTTCATTGATATAAACATTCAAAACCGTAAACTGGAAACACTACTGCGTAGCATGGAGATAGCACAGGATGAGTCCTTCAGAGATGAACCATGTCTGGATGATATTTGTAGCTCACCTGGAGCATCTTTGACTGAAAGTGCAATTTATGATAAAATGTCAGAAGGACTCCTATTAGAAGAACAAGCAACTGAAGAAATGGCAGACTGTGATCTGCTTGTCAATGATGACCTTGCAAACAGAGATGACTTGTATGATGAAGTAATGATGGAAACCACAAGTGAGCTTAGTGGTTTAGGACATCTGAATTCCACAGGGCTGCAGTCCAGCCTTGGAACAGGTGGATTTGATAAGGTAAAATGGAAACAGGCTAAAGAATCACTATGGATGGAACAAGCAATACAGACTGATGTGGTTCCATATAGCATTGATCTGGAGCACCTTATTCTCAAGATTTTCAAGAGTCACACAAATAACAATCCATTTGGAAGATCATCTCCTTTACAGGATCTTCAAATAAAATTTTCTACTGGATCCCCAACACTAATAGATCTGACACCAGATGACCCCAACTCTGCAATTCTTTTATCCCCAGAGTCAATGCAGAAGGATTTTGCAAGTGCCAATGCAAATCGTGCTATGAAAGAACTTGACTTTGAAAATCCTTTATTGGAGATGCGATATGAAGAGACTGCTCAGGCCCTTGTGCCAAAGAAACAGTGGAGTGATCATTTTCTGACCGATCTCATGGCTGTAGCAATGCCCATCATTCCTACAGTAATTTGGGCTTTCAGTACCCAAAGAGGGAACATTGATCCTGTATATAACATTGGTACCTTGATGCGTGGTTGTTGTTTAATGGCTTTACATTCCCTCAGGAGAATCCCATAAAGTCCTTACCATCTAACCTTTTTACGACTGTAAAATTGGACTCCGGTTTTCTCTTGTGTTTGTGGCTATTTAGGGCACTTATATAAATGATGTTTGTCACTATTGCACCTAAATATTTTTATTTGCACTTTATAAAGCAGCAAACATTAGCATTTTTTTTGGTTTGCTTCAAGACAAATATAAATAGAAGTGATAGCTTCACACCCCCCCCCCCCAAACATTGCACTAATCCTTACTAAAATGTCTCATATGCTAGAATTCATTTTTGCACTTTGCATTACAAATCGTGTTTCTATTGCTGAAATGGCTCTTACTGGCATTGCTTAGCTATGCTTAATGTGTGATTGTCTTTGCATTTGTTAAACAGCACTTGTAAAATGTATGCACCTTTAAATACCCTTGCTTAAAGTAATGTACTTATAGTATATATGTGGCGTAAATATTAATGCCCATGATGTTGAATTTGCACTTTTCTGCATTATTTAAAAAGGGTCCCTATTTCTGCTGTAGGTATGCTTGGTTATATGTCAAATATTTATAGTTACATATGTGGGAGTATATATGTATATATTTTATTGACTAGTGCAGTATGTTGGAGCATGTTTGTGCAGAAAGATACATTGTATTGAAAGAGTATATTGTACATTCCTAGTGAAATGATATAGCATGGTGAAAATGTGCCTAGAAACGTTTATGGAGTCTAGAAATGATTCTAATAAAACAAGTCATCGGTGAGTTTGCATTTACTATATTTTTTATTTGTACATTTGGTTTGGCTGTGTAACTGGAGAGATGATTCTGAGCAGAATACTCAAACAGTGACACACAGACAATGACATTTCACACACTGTAACTCACATGCTAACCTAGCAAACAGAAGAAAATGGCATCCAGTGACGGTGAACACACACACTCATGTTTGTTCACGCTGCTTCTGCATGCAAAATGCTTGCACTGATTTTGCATTAACTAAAGCAGACCCTGAATGAAAGCATACACACGAGTGCAGAAATAGCTCAAGCTCTTGTACTGACTTCATTGTAAGTGCTGCTGCTACTACTGTGTATAGCTATACAGACTAATTCAAACTGCCTTCAGAAATTTTACATTGGATTCAAAACCTGTTTACACTATATTCAGTTGGTTTTACATGCAGACTTTATACATGTTTTAAGGCCAAAGGCCTGTATTTGCAGGAGGAGTATGGCCTATTAAACCTCTATCCCCACTCCTACTCGGGCCGTTTCGTTTCAGGTCATCCCACCTGCCTCAACCCTTATTTAATTCATTAATTCCACTCATCTCCTCGGTGGGCCCTCTTCTATTTACAGGCCTACCCATACGTTGGTTTCTGCACACCACAACCGACTTATCACCACCACCACCAATTGATACATAATACTATTATGTTTCCGACCGCAAAAATAATTTTGTTCTACTACCTTTAAGGACAACTAAAGGCACCTACACCACTTTACGTGATATGGTCTGGGTGCATTGGCACTGTAGTTTTAACCCTGTACTTTTTTAGAAACCGTAGTGTTTACGTTGCTGGGTTAAACATTCCTTTAGTCAGGGCTGGATTAACATAGGGGCTGATGGAGCTGCAGCTCCAGGCCCAGGCCTATGGAATAGGCCCATTTAAAAAAAAAAAAAAACCCTACTCTTAGGTTTTTCTCCTGACTGGTATTTTACTGGCACAGATGGTATTTGAGGCTGCCTGGCCGTGCCGGTATTACAGTAATACCGCAATACAAATGCAGATATTTTTCTTAGTATAAACTGAACAATACCAGCGCCGGCCAGTAGGGGTCAGTGTGTGTGAGACATAGGGACATTGGGAGACACAGAGACATTAATGACCGTGTCTCCATGTCTTCCAGTGTCCCCATGTCTCCCAGCCAGTGTCCCCATGGCTCCCAGTGTACCCTGGTCTCCCAGTGTCTGTGTCCCTAGTGTCCCCATGGCTCCCACTGCCCCCATGTCTCTGTGTCCCTAATGTTTCAGTGTCCCCATGGTTTCCAGTGCCCCCATGTTTCCCAGTGTCCCCAAATGTCTGTGTCCCCACATGTCTCCCAGCCAATGTCCCTAGTGTCTCAGTGTCCCTATGTCTCTCAGTATCACTAGTGTCCCCATGTTTCCCAGTGTCCCCAAATGTCTGTGTCCCCATGTCTCTCAGTGTGTGTTCCCATGTCTCTGTGTCCCTAGTGTCTTAGTGTCCCCAAATGTCTGTGTCCCTAGTGTCTGTGTCTCCATGTCTCCCAGGGACCCCAATTGTCTTAGTGTCCCCATGTCTGTGTCCCCTTGTATCCTAGTGACACAGGACACACTGAGACATGGGGACACTGGGAGCAATGAAGACACAGACACTGGGAAACTAGTGGAGTGGGTGACATGGGGACACTGACACTGACACTGTGATACATAGGGAAACTGATGCCAGGCTGGCCTTCCAATTCTTTGGGCAGATATGCCCCCTTTTTGGGCATTTTTGCTCTTTTTGGCAGTTCTGGTCACATGATTTTGTGTCAGTGACCCACTCTTTTACACCGCCCATTGACTTCCTTCTTCTCTGGACACTGCTGTTAGGGGGAATGGATTTACTTGAAAGATGAAAGCATTTATTAGAGAGAGATTAGCATATTTTAAGAGAATCTGCGTTTTCTTATAGCTGCATCCTATGAGTTTCCTTCTGGCACCATCTCCATCAGATACATAACGCTTGAGAGGTATGACTGTTTTAGTGTTTTTGGTCGATAAGATTCTGTAATTAGGCCCCTCATAATTGTCAGCAGCAGGCCCACTGAGCTCTTAATCTGGCCCTGCCTTTAGTGCAGGGATGCCCACAGGTAGATGGCCAGATGTTTTAAAACTACAACTTCCTTGTCTGCTCTAATGCCTGTCTTCCTATCTAAATGCTGGAGTTTTTTTAACAGTACCTAATAAAAAAAATATTTAATTCTAGGCTGGATACCTAGAGTTCGTTATTTAGAAGCTCAGTTTCGGGGCAAATTTAAAAAATGGAGTTGGTTTCTATGGTGATTGCTCCACTTCTGGAAATTTGCCTCACAAAGGAAGGAAACATTTTAGACATGGCCAAATTATCATGTTTCCAAATGTACTAAGAGCTAAAAGTCCAATCGGTCAACTGGCCATTCTGATAACTTGGAAATAGAGATGGGCCTCTGCTGCAATTTGTTTAGAATGGGGGCTTCAAACTCTGGTCCCACAGATGTTTATGACCTACAACTCCCAGAATTATTTGAATCCAACAGGTTGCCTGAGAATCATGGGAGTTGTAGTTCAGATTTTGAGATCACTGGTTTATATGTTTGTATAAGCAGCCAAAAATAAATCACCCGGCGCTTGGCTGAGAGCAGGGGGCGGAGCTACAAGGTGCCGGTTATGATCCAGCCAATGGCAGACATCAGAGGGCGGAGCTATATTGTTAGACTGCGCCAAATTTCACATGAAAATGACAAACACAAAATGACATAAAAAAACGGAAGGGAGAATCACCAATTACAAAATGTCAGTGGGGTGTATGTAAAATACTTGCATTTGCACTTTATATTTTATTCAAACTGTACTGCCCTATATTAGCTATTATCTCTTCCAGTTACATCTGAGAGGAATCTATATAGGGTATTTATATACTTATATTTGTTCTATTCACTCTACCACTACATACACTCTTTGTCTATTGTAAAAGCAGCCAAACCGCATTGCAACACACTTTACACAGAATATAGGTAACCTTAAAGGAACCCTCTGGCATCATAACAACTTAATCTCAATAAAGTTATGATGATGTCTGGAGGTCCTGGATGACTCCTTTGTCCAGTATATCAAGAACTGTTTTACTCCAAAGTTCGCTTAATAGTTCCCATCCTCCGGGCACCTTTTCTGGCACTTTCATCTGACGCCCTAGCCTATTAATGAACTTCTGTTGACAGAAATGCCTATGAAAAGGTATAGGCCTTTCTCCAAAGAGCTTTCTTATACTGCTACTCTTGGTGTACAGCTGATACCGATTTTTAACTTGTGGACACATCATGAGGTTTCTTTAGTCCTATCATGAGGTTAAGTACACTCTTTGAACTAGATAGGATCACTATACATCAACAGGGTTTTTAGTAAATCCAAACTGGAACACTCCGACTATAATAGCTACCGTGACTATAGCTGATATGAAGAATACAGCCAAATCGGCAATCTGTTTCTTCAGTTTTTACATTCAATTTAATTTGGTAAAATTCAGAGTACTGTGAGCATCTATGCATGTTTATTCCCTACTCTAGAGCCGAGAGCTACAGTTTACGTAGACTGGCAAAACCTTCAATGCCTCTACTGCTGCAATCAATAACTGCCACCGGCAAACTAAAACAAATAAAGTTCTGATACAATGCCAACACTTTAATCCTCATTCCATATTACAAAATAAGGTCAGGCAGGCGGCTTTTTTCATGCAGTCCACAGTTATAATTTATTTATTTTTCCCCCAGTTACCCTATTGAAAACAAGGTAAGTGGGGGGGGGGAGGAGGAAACTGCAGGAGGTTGCTGCTTAATCTAAATGTTTGTATTTATCTCAATGAAGTGGTCAGGTGCTGTGGTTCTGTCATTTTAATCCTTCCATGTAAAACATTGCCATTTTGTGAGAACAGAAACGTTTACATGGAATGGATAAATGCCCCTCTAGTTGCCGTTTTTCTGACAGCAGCTAGAGGCACTTACACCTCCATAGCTTAGCTTAACTCTGCAATTTAATCTGATGGTTTTATATACATCATTTGATTGGCATAATGCTGCGTTTTGTTGGATTGAGATACTCAATCTTGATTTCAGCCAAGGAGGCGGAGAAACAGTGACAAGCAAGTAAAGTTAAGGGGACAATCCAGGCCTCTAAAGCACTTTATTTTACAGAAAAGCTTTGTGAGAAGAGTGTGTACTATTTTTCTAATTTTGGAAAAAGTGCAGATTTCAATAGAAATTTACACTTTATAATTAATACTGGTTACACCCCCTGGCTTTTCAAGCAGACAACATGTCTTGTTACTTCCTGGTTTGGTTAACGTACTTGCACTGAACTCAAGAGGCAGCAATTGCCCAGAGCACCTGTCTTGCAATGTTTTATCATTGAGCTGCATTGAGAAGTTTTTGATTGAACAGTCACAAAGCCTGGGCAGCGTTAGAAGGGGAGGGCTTGTAAAGTCAACGTACAAGAGACCTGCGGTTTTTGCAAGCTGTTTTCAGATGAAGCTCCAATGAAAAATGCATAATTAAACGCAAGCAAGTTTTAATTTTGTGATATTATTTATTTTGTATTTTTGCAGTGGAGTGTCTCTTTAAGTAAAACTCGCCTTCAAAAATCTTACAGCAGGGGGTCTGCATGGTTGTATTCCCAAAGCTTTGGTATTCCTTTAAGCTGTGTTGGTCCTGGTGCTTAGAGTGCCTTTATCTTTAGGAGGATATTGGTGGTAAAGAAAGTACTGCTCAAAACAAGCTTACAATCTACGATGGGGATTGCTATTTACTGTTGAGCAATTGGTTTTGAGGTGGTGCTGAAACTGGGAAACGATTATTGCAGTTAATTACCTTTTAATTTCACTGCTAACCACCATAAAATGTTTGGCATGTTCCTATTCACTTGGCACTTGAAAGTTTCTTGGCCAGGTAAGCACTTCCATTGTGTCCTCTCCACACCAGATTCCACTTTCACATCCTATCTACTGGCTCAAGTTCACTCTCTTCTCCCCTTCTTTCTGCTCACTGGCAATCTCACACGACTAAAAAGCAAATACTATACAATTAGTAACAAATCCGCAAACAGGAAAAGAATTTGGACAGCGGGTCTTCGTTTCACATAAAAATAAGGGATCTAGATAACATAAATGAGTAGGGAGGGTTGTTGCACAATGGGTTAGGGTGAAAAGGTTTGCTTTGCTCAGCGTATTAGGATAAATACAGCAAACAGTAGGGTGGATGATATTAGTTATGTGTGAGAGGAGGGTGATGATTGCAGGCAGGACATAGCATTCAATAGGCTTCCTGCTGTATGTTTCGCTTTGATGTCCAGGGAGAACACAGCTTATTAGTTCAGTGGTTGTGATATGCTTTCACATCACTTAGGACAAAATGTACATGGTTATTTTTTTTTTTTTTTTGTTTTAAACATTACAATCATCTACTGCTTTGACATTTTCCAAAGACATTTAAAATTCCTTTTTGCATTTCCGGTATTGAAATATCCCATACTTCAGACTCAATTATTATTATTACTGGTATTTATATAGCGCCAGCATATTCTGTTGCGCTTTACAATATTATCAAAAAGGGAGATTTAACAATAAATGAGACAATTACAAAAACTTACAGGAACAATAGGTTGAAGAGGGCCCTGCTCAAACGAGCTTACAGACTATAGGGAAGGAGGGGGGTGTGTAAAACACAACAGGACAGGAGGTGGAGTGAAGCAGAGCTGGAGGAGAGAATAAAGTGCTGCTCTTTAGGAGAGAGCAAGGGACAGGTACGTGAGGTAGAGGTTACTCTGAGGCTGTAAACTTTCCTAAAGAGATGGGTTTTGATGCACTTTTGAATACTAGGGGAGAGCTTGATGGTCATAGGCAAGCTATTCCAAAGGAAAGGAACCATCCGCAAGAAGTCCTGCAATCGTGAATTGGCCGTATGGGTGCGAACAGCGGACAGGAGAAGGCAGAGCGGAGAAACCGAGAAGGGGCATACCTGCAGATCTGTGAAGAGATATGAGGGGCTAGAATAGTTCAGTGCTTTATAGGTGTGGGTTAGTACCTTGAATTGATTCCTATAGGATACAGGAAGCCAATATAAGGACTGACAGAGGTGAGGTGTGAGAGGAGCGACAGGAAAATCAGTCTAGCTGCAGCATTCCTTACAGACTGTAGCGGGGCAATACGACTCGTGGGAAAACCTATTAGAAGAGAGTTACAGTAATCCATGCGAGAGATTACTAGAGCATGGACAAGCTCTTTAGTAGCATCTTGTGTAATAAAGGGGAGGATGTGGGCGATGTATGCACAGCATCACGATAATGTGTGTTTTACAAAGTCACAGTTCACAATCCACCTAGACCCCTAAATCACTTTAGCTTGTTAAAAAGATTTGTGTGTGGTGTCCTTTTTTCCATTTTATAAGAAGTGCAGATTTTAGTAGAAATTTACACTTTTATAAATTAACATGGTTACATACCCTGGCTTTCAATCAGACAACTTGTCCTGTTACTTCCTGGTTTGGTTAGCTCAGTGTAGCTAAACTCACAATGCAGTCAACTGCTCATAGCAATAAATAAAACACACTTTGTTTAAAATGTGGAAAGCACGCAGTGAAGGGCTATAAATATAATAAAAATTACCCTATCCTTCAGCACACTGTAGACAAATTAGGACTCACAGAAATGCCAAAGACCCAACGTATCTACAGTGGAAAAAAAACTAAGAAGAAAAAAACAGCATTGTATGTACCATAGGCCAAATCTGTAATTTATGCACTCACAAAACTGTTTGATTGAAGGCGTATCATGTAATCAAGATGTCTTCAGCACATTGGAAGGGCATGTAGATAAAAAGTAAAATGGTAATGGTTCGAGATGGCTGAATAAAATATTGAGCTTTAATATAAATTGCAAAAAAGGATAGATGCTAATAGTCTCAATGTAGGTAAAGACATGAGACCATGTGCATCATGGCCACATAGAAAATAAATATTAATAATTGGCTAAACTAACCCAAAACAAAATTGAGACCATGAAATAAGTGAAAAGTAAAATAAAGTATATATAAGTGTAACTAATGCAACTATGCATCCAATGTAGAAGCAGGCAGAGGTCACTTCAAAGTGTAAGAGTATATGATATATGATATAGGGCTGTTGATCGTGGTCACAAAAAGACCAAACAAACAATGTAGGATTGCTGCACAATAGTATCCAGAGCAGAAATACTTGCAGATAGAAAAGAGAGGGAGTAAGCAGTATGAAATAATGAGGTCAGTTTCAAATAAACTGACAATAAAATTTATAAAGCCTCTCTCTCTGTATAACTATCTAGACAGGTATAGTAGCAAAGAAATAGGATAGGGAAATATAATCAAATCACATTTAAATTTAACAGTGCTTAAATCAAACGATGCCCAGTGCCCATAATAAGTAAGTTTTCTTGTAATTGTCCTATTTATAGTTAAATCCCCCCTCTCATAATATTGTAAAGCGCTACGGAATCTGTTGGCGCCATATAAATGGCAATAATAAAAAAACTTAAAGGCAGCAATACAGTTGAAATATCCTTTATATGTAACCATAGTGGGAACACTAAAAAAAGTTAATAAAATAATAAAAAAAAATATTGGCCAATTTAAAAGAAGATACCATTTTGAAACACATCCTACCTCCTGATTCCAAAGTAGTATATAGATGATGCAGAAACATGAAGCAAGTGTTATTTAAAAGTAGTTTTTTTTAAAACTAAATCAACTGATCATTTTTTAAATAAAAGGCTTTTATGGATGCGGATCCTGTCTAGCCTGTAGAGAGACGAATGACTTAGTTCAAGTATCATGAAGATAAAGACTTCAACATCAAAGGCCTGTTTTTCTAAAAATGTTATTTATATTTTAAAATGTCCCTGCAATCTGATCTATGTAGGAAGAACCACCAGATCTCTGCACATCAAAATTGCAGAAGATATTAGAAATGTGAGAAGAGGTTTATAAACCGGTCATAATAACCCAAGAGATTCTTTTTTTTCTGCGTCATTAAATTGGTTCAGAAAGATTGGAGAGGAGGAGATTTTAATAAGAAAATAGTAGCCTGAGGGAGAGGAAGTGTTAGTTGGCCAAGAGACAGATGTAGAATGTGTGTTTTTGATGTATGTTCAGTGTGTTAATGATAGTGACTAAAAAGAGAAAAGGAGAAACAAAAAAGGAAGAACTGGAGCCAGTGCAAAGCTAAATGGGGAGTAACCCCTGTAGTCAACATTTGACAAACAAGAAAAAATGGTGGGTGCAACACTTGGTGCTAAAGATGGAATACTATGAAGATAAAATACCACACATTACAAGACTTAGCTTTTAATAAATCATGATAAAAGAAAGCCCAGCCAGAACTTCCAGAAGAACTTCCCACAAAAAAATCATCAAAAAACACAATAGCTGTATAGACATAATATTTTGCACACAATAGTGTGCTTTAACAAATATTTCATCATGGTGCTATTTACAACGTTTTCATTAGTGGGCTAGTATAGATATTATGGTGGAAGACAACTTGATAATGGTAATTACAAATAAGCACATTTTCACTAGTAAAATGATTTGTAGTCGATATTAATAAGTCATTGCTGAACAGACACATGCAGAAACCTTGGTATAGGACCACTGCTACACAAACCCATGCTATAAACTCGGTATAATAGTATCAATGTCTCAAGAACGCTACATCAGTATTAGTGATAAGTAATAACACGAATTGTTACTACAAATGTTTCTCAAATGTAGCAAAAGGTGGTAAGTTATCGCTATGAAATTAGACAGCAGTGACGGCCCAAACGTCTGGCTATAACCAGTAGTCAAATAGGATGGGGGAATAGGGTAAAAGGGGGAGATTAGAAGGGAGTTCAAGTAATTAGCTTTCCCTATTGTGCCTTCGTGGGCACCCCTTACCCCAAAAATGTCCCTGTCCTGTTTGGGAAATACTTATCACTACTCCACCCACCCCAGAAATGAAAATCGATGAGAGTAGCCTAGTGCTATAGATGGAAAAAGTCAAACTGGGATCAGTTGTTGCCGTGCCAGAGTGATCAAAGTGACAACAAATCAAGAATGCCTTGTTGCAATTCTATAATGAAATTCTAATGGGAGCAACAAAGCCCCTAGTTCTGCTCATCAGCTCTGATCAGGTTTAATCCTAAATTCCAGAGGACAACTGCTTAGAGCAAAGACTTCTCATTGAGCTGCATTGGGAAGTCTACGATTGGACAGCCACAGAAAGTCTGGGCTAAATTAGAAGAGCAAGGCTTACACAATGTTTAGACAGATTTGCAGCTTTTGCAAGCTGTTTTTAGATATAACACCCAATGAAAAAAAATAAAAATTTAAATGCATGCATGTTTTCATTGAGGGCATATTGACTAAACCTTTGTATTTGGGCAGGGGAATGACCCTTTTAAAAAATGTTTTATTTTTTTTTCCCTCCTGCAGAAAAATAATTGGGCTTAAGAGCCTTGAAGACTACGTTCAAAGATCTTAGCACAATGCTTACATCTAAACCGTGTTAGTTTAATTGCACGTTGGATTAGACAAAAGTAAGAAAGGGATGTGATATTTATTTTCTAATCAACTAGGTGATAGGATATAGACATGGAAATGTTTGACCATATACAAGAGTGGTATTATTTTCCTAAGGATTATGATCTCTTAAAGCAGCGGAGGACCCATTAGAGCCATTTAGACACCAGGTGAACATACGTCCCCATAGTTCCAAGGTTACTAAGGAGTTCATGGGAGTCCTCCAACACCTGTCTTTGTGAGAGATGCAGTAAATCCCACCCTGATTAGTGCCTGCTGCCTTTTTTGTATGGTCGATCCCTCTCGATAATTGAAGAGAATGTGGGGATTGTTTTTCTAAGAACTGCAGTCCAACACAGTTAGTTATGTGAAAGAATTTACTTTGATTCCAAGGTTCAAGCTTATGGGTGTAATATTAGATAGCCTATATTCAAATTGGCTAACTTGGACTTATGAAATGCTTAATACGACACTTAAGACCATATATGTCTAGTTCCGGGAGCAGATAGCCCCCACCTGAGCTGTGTCTCCTAAATCAGTCTGTTCCGGATTTAGGAACTTATCTGTTATATGTACATGACGTTCATCCCGATGTCTTATCTGTACTCCCTTCACCCCCTTGCTACTCCTGTTATAATAGTATTTGCACGTAAGCACTTACTTTTTAATGTATAAAAACACAACTGACAAAATAAAGGTCAGAAGCTTATTTGGATAACCAACATTGAGTCTGGTGTCTAATTCACGCTTCTCCAAATGCACTTGAGAACAATAATTTGGGTTCCCCTGAATATCACAAAGATCGATATTGGATCTATATATCATAAAGTGGCAAATGCCAAAATCCGCTTTAGCTGGTGACCATTTTAACACATTATAAATAGGGATAATAACTTATGTCTCTTGATAAAGAAATAGAATAGTAAAAACTCATAAAAAGGGGCTTTCAGGAAATTGTAAAATACAAAATAAAACAGAGCAAGTTTTAAAAGCAGTGAAATTATCACAGTAACCACAGAATGTCCCTGCTGGTTTACATGGTGATTTTTCACTTTTACCTCAATTTTCTACTAACGGCATTTTAGAAATCTACCCCATAGTGTTAAAACCTGCAAAAAAAAACAAACAAACCATTTTTTCTTTATGGTCTTTAATTTAGTGGCAAAGCATTATGGGAACAGGTTTTACTGCAGCAGGGGATCCAGGTTTTATCCTCGCCACACCAATTAAAAAATAATAAATAAATAAAAAAGGCCTGAATTTTCTTTAAAAGTCTTTATTAATTACATATTTTCAGAAAGCTTAATGGAGCAGTAGATACCACCACTGAATTATTTACACCCTTTTTCACCTTAAAAAATTCCATGCGCTACACTGACGAGAAGAGCTGTGAGTTAAATCCCAGGGTTTAAAAACATACTGGGACTCATCTGTCAAACAAGTCCCAGCAGTCGTGTAAAGAAGGTTTGCCTTTTCTGCAATTGAAGAGTCACTTCTGAAACTGTTGAAATGTTTGAAGAATTCTGCATTTCAGCTGTGTGCCACAAGACATTGTCTGTTAGGATAATTTGACACCAATTTTGGTCTGCTCTTTTTTCACTTGCCGTAGCATTTCTTTCTCCATTTTCTTCCGCTGCTGCTCTGCTGCCCTTTTTTCTCTTTCAGCTATTTTCTGCTGCCTGTAAATAAGTGATTTATAGGTTAGCTAAACTGCATGAAAATGGTCATTAAGGGGTTACTCAAACCACCACAACCACTTCTGCTTTTACACTTTCAGCTTGAAACGCTTCAAACACAGAGAGAAATACGGGAACTTAAAAACACAAATAATTTTGTATTTGATCCATGGTTTTGGATCTGGACATTATATTTTAACAACATTTTAATTCTTCTGTTCATCCAAGTTTTGCTCCAAGTTTTTGAATACTTGTATCTATTCATTTTTGCTAATTTTGGTTATTTGAGATATTGTGTGGTACATCTTTTAGTCTAGTTTAAGAGCACTACTTGCCCCATATCTACTATTTTCTTATAGATTTTTATTTAGAAATATATCCGATGAGATATTTGCACCTTATGCAGCCCAGGAACTTTAATCCGGGCTGACTATTATCATTGCTGCACATCGCATTAGGTCTCCTCCACCGGCTGACGTGAGGAGCAGAGGTAGAGCTCAAGCCAGCACTATGCATGAGGGCATCCAGCGTCACCCAAAACCTCATAGGAAAGCATTATAGATGATTTCCTACGGGAGAAATACTAACGCAAGCGCAGCAATTGCCGTGCATGTGCACTAGGTCTCCAATGCTGGCTGATGTCAGACTCGGGGAAGGGGCTCGATGGAGTGGGGAGCTATAGTGTCAGTAAAAACAACTTTATTTTCCTGGCACCATAGTTTCCCTTTAATAGTGTCCTCTTGTTTTTACTTTTATATAGCAGCTTTGTATCTTTATTCCATACCTTAGCTTCAAGGGCGTTCTGGAAACAACCATAATTCACACATTTGATGATTTGCTATTTTGACAGTGTTCCGTATCTACATTAAATACTGAGCACTGTGTAGCTAAGACTGCTATTTTAGGCTTGAATTCTACTGGAGTGATTTATTCCCATGCAGAGAAAAAAAAAAAAAAAACGGGCCATAGAAGGGGGGTGTTTTGTAATCACCAATGACAAGCATGCTCCCTCTCAAATGGAGTATGTTGGGTCAATGCTCTTCCAGGGCAGCCCATGCACAGAGCCTTGCTAAAGAGCTCTCGCATGAGAAAAAGGCCCTGTATTTGTTCTGCGCAGCGCAAGCAAATTTATTAAGGTGCTTGCACTGTGTTTGGCTCCATAAGTGGGATACCAGAGGACAAAAGGGCCACAAAAGCATTTTGTGCATGTGTTTGGAGCGTGTGTGTGCGTAGAGTGAGTTAATTGTAGTGTGGTGTTTTGTGTAAATGTCAGTTGTGTTGTGCTTGTGGTGGAATGTATGTGGCTAGTGGCTGTAGAGAGTGAGTGTGTTTGTATAGAGGATGTAGCGAGTGTATGCATAGGTGCTGTAGTGTGTGTAGGGGTTGTAAAGTGAGTGTGTTTGCTAACAGGGAATCTAGTGTGTGCATGTCAGGAATGTATTAAGTGTGTAGGTGGTGCAGTGTGTGCCTATAGGGGTCTATGGTGTGTAAGGGGATTTAGTTTGTGTGGAGGACCCACAGAGTGTATAGGAGATTTAGTGTGCGTGCGTAGAGGAATCAGAGTTTACACAAGGATTTTAGTGTGTGTGTGTAGAAGATACAGAGTTGTGTACAGGATCTAGTGTGTGTCTGAAATGTAATTTGTGAAGTGGTGCTTTATTTGTGTGTGTGTGTGTGTGTGTGTGTGGGGCAGGGGGGAGGTGTTAGGGGGGAAGAGGGGTTAAAGTGTGTGGGCGAGAGGAACACAACAGAGCTGCAGGCTAGAGCTCCACTGGGACCTCTCAGTCACCTGCCGGTTGCCCATTTCAATGCCTGTGAGCCATTGAAAAGAGTTCCATCTAAATTTGTTTATTTTATCGATTTCTTGTATGCTTATACTATTTTATAATATTTACCTTGATACTTCTAAGCATTACACAAATTTTACATCTTACAGGAGAAAGTTAGACACTATAACCCGAATGCTTTTCTGCCATGGCTGCCTTTCCAATTCCCAAATTACTTTGAGAATTTCTGATAGGAGTCATGAACCACAGAGCAATCCATGCAACATGCAAATAAACAAAGTGCAAAAATGATTATTAAAACATTACAAGAGGAACCTAGTTCAGGGATAGCAAGGGGAACACAAGTAGAAAATTCCCAAATAGATGTAAAATAACAACAAAAAAAAATCAAAGATTGCAGTAACTAAACCAGCAGGTCATTACCTTAGCACATCTTCTGCTTGCCAGGCAGCATCTTCCTCTTCCTCCCAAGCATTAGAGTTTTCTTGCCAGGTTTCCAAATCGCCCAATTCAGCCTAAAATTGTACAATCAGCAGCAATATATTTTTTTGTGTTGTCCACTAAAAGCAGTGATATATTTCTCCCCTTTGCACCCCCTAGTGGTATATTTACAGACTTGGATCTCTAAGCAAGGGGACCCACTAGTGGCAATACAGACAACATATAGCACACAATTCTCACCATGTACTTCATTTTGCTAAGTTCAGGAGGGAAATATACAGGTATATTTCAACAGATCGTTACAGAGTGCTTAGGCCACTGTTGACATTGTTAGTGAAATCACAGATGTGATCAAATTAAGAAATTTTACTAACTAAATATTGCTTTTACGTGCTTATACTATATAGTTTCTGCTTGTACAAGAAATGAAATTTGGTTTAATTTGGTGAATAGTAGGAAACCGCACAAATGAGGGTGGAATAAAAGGCTGGAATTTATCTGCATGGATAACCTCTTATTATAAAGTATTTACTAATGTAATTTCAGAAGAATTGGCGTACATCACAGCATCTTTCAGATGCTATATGAGCAGTTTTTTTAAAGACTATTCCAGTTTGTAACATTCATACATTTTTTGTTATTTTTGTATTAAACAGCCATGTTACAGATTTACTATCCACCCCATGTGTGCCACGTAAGGTTAGTAGGTTTGTAGAGATTCAGAAAAATTTCTATGTCTGTTGCATAAGGAATTTTGCTTTGTATATGAAAGCATTAAAGTGAATTGTTCGTATGGAACGTAGTTAATGGGTTTGCGCCTTACCATAGCTGGCAAGCTTACACTATAATGGCCATTGCAGTGGTACCAACAATCTCCATTCTTTAAATGTTCAGTTTTGACTTAAAGAAAGTAATAAAGAATTAAAGGGACACCTGAACAACTTTAGCTTAATGAAGCAGTTTTGGTGTATAGAACATGCCCCTGCAGCCTCACTGCTCAATCCTCTGCCATTTAGGAGTTAAATCCCTTTGTTTATGAACCCTAGTCATACCTCTCTGCATGTGACTTGCACAGCCTTCCATAAACACTTTCAGTAAAGAGAGCCCTGTTTAGGCTTTCTTTATTGCAAGTTCTGTTTAATTGAGATTTTCTTATCCCCTGCTATGTTAATAGCTTGCTAGACCCTGCAAGAGCCTCCTGTATGTGATTAAAGTGCAATTTAGAGATTGAGATACAATTATTTAAGGTAAATTACATCTGTTTGAAAGTGAAACCAGTTTTTTTTTCATGCAGGCTCTGTCAATCATAGCCAGGGGAGGTGTGGCTAGGGCTGCATAAACAGAAACAAAGTGATTTAACTCCTAAATGACAGTGAATTGAGCAGTGAAATTGCAGGGGAATGATCTATACACTAAAACTGCTTTATTTAGCTAAAGTAATTTAGGTGACTATAGTGTTCCTTTAATAGTTTATATATCTGGGGCCAATACAAACCATTGTCTGGTAATCTATTCACAAACAGAACTATACATAGGACAAGAGGTCACACATAGACTGGAAGAAAGGAGATTTAGTATAAGGCAAAGGAAAGTTGTTGGTTTTTTTTACAGTAAGAACAATAAGGATGTTGAATTCCATGCCTAAATAAGTGGTTTTATCAGAGTCTGTACAGAAGTTATAACAGCAATCATATGCATACTTGCAAAAACATAACATTCAAGCATATAATGTTTAAATTGTGGGGTAATAGCTTCTTGACCCAAGGATACATCTGACTCCCATTCTGGGGTCAAAAATGATTTTTTTCATAATTTGTTGCAAAATTGGAAATGCTTCACACTGGGTTGTTTGCCAATAAAAAGGCTGAACTTGGTGGACACATGTCTCTCTTCAGCCTATGTAACTATATTAAAGAGGGGTTTTTGGTCACTAGGGTCACACTACTGAATAATAATATCAAACTGTTAGGGAAAAAAAGAATCATGTTTTGAAATACACCTTGGTCTATATGTTATTACCTAACTAGAAAGTACTCACTGTACCAACTTTTGAAGGATGAAAGTCTGATGGTCAAGTGCAGTTGAAGGCATATCCATTTTATTGTTAATGGCTATAGAATACTACAAGCTAGAACAGCCCTTTCAAAATAGCAAGTGTCACTAATTTACAACAGTTTCAACTCAAATCAGCAGGTTAAATGTTGAAACATAAATGCAGTATACTCACAGACTGATGTACAAATGGGATATCTTGTGATGGCAGCAGTCTACTGGAGAAATTTCCTAAATTGCCGTCAGGAACACTAAAATTCATTGGCTCCCTCTTCTTTATAATGATCTGGGAGTTGGAAACAGAAATAAAGCTCAATAAAATGCCGTAGAGTGAAAAATAAATACGTAATACAATTTCACTTGGCCTGACAATTTATTCAGACAATATACAAGGTCTAACAGAAGCATCATATCTCAAATCTAACCAGACTAATGCAGGTCATATAAGATACTGACAAATACACTGTTGCATAGGACCTTCCAGTAAAATTTATTGTTTAAATGTAAATAGCAGGACATGTTTTTAGAGTAAATAGTTCCCTGTTTCAGTGCTTGGATGTTCAACTTAGAAATCATACACATGTAAGAAAACCTAACCCACAAAATGGAAAGAAAAACAAAAATACATTAAAAAACAAAAACAAAAGCATGTTCATATTTAACCCCTTAAGGACGGAGCCAAATGTACACGTTGTGAACAAAACAAAATGTAAACAAAACCTGGCATTTGCGCTACATGTCTGTCCAACCGTAATACACCTCTTTCATAGTAAATGCACCCACCCTTATTATATATCATTTTATTCAGGGGAAACAGGGCTTTCATTTAATATCAAATATTTAGCTATGAAACAATTTAATATGAAAAAAATGGGAGAAAATAAGATTTTTTTGATTTTTTTAGTTCTAAATTGCATTTTAAAGGTCAGTGTCATAATACTGTTTGATTTTACTGCAATAAAATACACATATTTGTATTCAGTAAAGTCTCACGTGTAAGACAGTACCCCCTATGTACAGGTTTTATGGCGTTTTGGGAAGTTACAGGGTCAAATATAGCACGTTACATTTGAAATTGAAATTCGCCAGATTGGTTACGTTGCCTTTGAGACTGTATAGTAGCCGGGGAATGAAATTTACACCCATAATGGCATACCATTTGCAATAGTAGACAACCCAAGGTATTGCAAATGGGGTATGTCCAGTCTTTTTTAGTAACCATTTGGTCACAAACACTGGCCAAAGTTAGCGTTAGTATTTGTTTGTGTGAAAAATGCAAAAAATGCCAATTTTGGCCAGTGTTTGTGACTAAGTGGCTACTAAAAAAGACTGAACATACCCCATTTGCAATACCTTGGGTTGTCTACTATTGCAAATGGTATGCCATCATAGGGGTAATTTTCATTCTTAGGCTACCATAGGGTCTCAAAGGCAACGTAACCAATCTGGCGAATTTTAATGTGAAAAAAATGAAACATAAGCCTTATATTTGACGCTGTAACTTTTGAAAACACCATAAAACCTGTACATGAGGGGTACTGTTGTACTCGGGAGACTTCGCTGAACACATATTTGTGTTTCAAAACAGTAAAAAGTATCACAGCAATAATATTGTCCGTGTAATGCTGTTTGTGCGTGAAAAATTCAAAAAACGTCACTTTTACTGGCGATATCGTTGTAATACACCAAGAGGTTTTAACATTTGGCCAAGGCAGGAGCCTTAATAGAATCTGCAGAAACCCTTACTATTTCAGATGAACAAGCTAGTGCTATTCTCTGGCCACAAACCTCGGGTGAATTAGCATATACCAATTCTATACAGGATCTTTATAATGATCTTATCAAATTGAAAAAAAGAGAAATAGATCTAGATCTACATGGGGTCTTTATATCAGACTACCATAGATCAAAAAGGATACCTAGAGGTTTTAGGGTGAGAAATGCACCCACTATAGGACGGCAAAATCCTGATTTTTGTAGGAAGTGGATGCAAATATCCAATAAATGCTCATTAGACTGGATGGTTACCGTAGTGGAAGAAGTTGGTAGAGAACTTATATTCGTCAAACAGTCTATACAGAATATAGAAACAACGAACTCCAACATACTACAAGCCTCCACTGCAACCGTTCAAATGCTAAAATTACATGATGAATTAAGTAGATACAAAAATGAACTTATTCGTTTTAAAAAACAGAAACTGGAAAAAGTGAATAATGATTACAAATTTCATCAGGTATACAGATGGTTGGGAGGCTCGCAGGATACCCATAGGTTAAATGTGAGATCTAGAATTAAAATACGTAAACCATCTTTCCAAACGATTGATGCTAGCTCTGGGGATTCAACGTCTGACCCTGACAGCAGGGGTGATAGCAGAGCCCAGGCTGGGGCCAATTTTTTAGAAGGAGGTCCACAACCAAGGGAACCACCAGATATTCCCCGTATCAATACCAGAGGCGCAAAAAGAACCGCCCAATACGACGAGGACAGAATAACTGGAAAAAACATAAATCCGACTGGAAGACCCCCGAGAATACGGAAATGACATCTGTATTCAATTTGTCAGAAAAAAATTTAAATGCTGACCATTATTCCGTTTTGAATAAAGGACTTTCATTTGTCCCAGTGTCCAGACCAGACCCATTCCAAATGGAAATTGAAATCTATAAGACTCAGCGCACACTCTATAGCAACGAACTCAGAAAGGATAACATAATAGAACAAGTCCATCCATTCTATAGGAAATCTAACAAGGACATACGTACTTTCAATTCTTCTATCAAAACTTTCATTCAAACTTTGAAAGCGGACACAGAGCAAATATTTAAGAACCCTCCAAAATATCATCAGAACCTTACTAAAGGAGAAAAAATGGCTCTTAAAGATCTTAGTGATGATCCTAACATAGTGATTCACTCCGCTGACAAGGGTGGAGCTACTGTTATACAATCGTATCAAAATTATCGTCAAGAAATACTACGTCAATTGGATGACATTGCCACATATACGAAACTTACCTATGATCCCGTCAGCAAATTTCAGACAAGGATTAAAAATCATATAGAATTGGGAATTCGCAATGGATATTTAGATGACAAAACAGCACAATACTTATATGTTGTAAATCCAAAACATCCAGTGTTATATACACTACCTAAAATCCACAAGGACCCCATAAAACCGCCAGGCAGACCCATTGTGTCAGCCAAAGAGGGCCTACTTGAACCTGTCACGAAATATATTGACTTTCATATTAAGAAAAGTGTAATGGCATTACCCACATGTCTACGTGACACTCAGGATTTTATTCACAAAATCAATTTAATTCCAGACATTGAAGAATCACACTTACTAGTTACTATGGACGTCCAAAGCCTGTACACCGTCATACCTCACAATGACGGTGTCCAGGCTTTGAGAGAGGTCCTTAGCTCCTCCTCATTATACTTGGGACCACCTACAGAGTTTCTTATGGAGTTCTTACTTATTGCTCTTTCTTGTAATTACTTCAAATTTGAAAATAATTTCTTCCTACAAACATCTGGGACAGCTATGGGTGCAGCCATGGCACCCTCCTATGCAAATGCTTTCATGTTTGTCTTTGAAAATGCATGGATTTTACAAAAATATGGAAATCAAATTAAACATTATCATCGCTTTGTCGATGATATTTTTCTGATTTGGATGGGTAATATGGAGGAATTGGACTCCATGTTACAAGAGATCAACCAAACCTCTACACCAGTGAAGCTAAGTATGACATGTGACACACAATCTATAGAATTTTTGGATGTGACTGTATTTAAAAATCAAGGCAAGTTGGAGTTCACACTATATCGCAAAGAGACAGAGCGAAACACCTTACTATTATCTTCAAGTTTTCATCCAAGGAATTTTAAAGCCTCTTTACCTATATCCCAGTTTCTGAGGGTATATAGATATAATAGTACCAACGAAAGATGTGAGATACAACTTAAAAGAAATGTGGAACAGATTCAGGGCTAGGGGATACCCTCGTTGTACTCTTGAATTAGCTTTTAAAAAAGCGAAAGAAATATGGGAATCTGAAATGAAGAATAACAAAAAAGTCAAAACAATGACAACATCTAGGATATTTCTACCCCTAACTTTTCACACAGGGACTTCAAGAATTAGAGACTCTATCTATAAACACTGGGATATGTTACAAACAGACAAACAATTACCCAAATCTTTTCAAAATCGACCGATGCGAAGTTACAAGAGGAATAGAAACCTCAAAGACATCCTTGTAAAAAATGATCCCAGACATTGCTATGTTAAAACCTCTAAAACTGTCAAAAAAGGATGTTTCAAATGTGGAGGATGTGTTACTTGTAGTCACATGGTCAGTGGGGCTACTTTTGCCCACCCTCATAGTGGTCAAAGAATCAATATTTCTCAATATATTACCTGTACCACTGACCATGTGATCTACTTAATTACGTGCCCCTGTGGACTATCCTATGTGGGTAAGATGGACCGTACCCTTAGGGACCGGATACGGGGCCATCGATCTACAATCACAACCGCATTTCGGGACAATTATAGCGATAAGCCAGTGGCGAAACATTTTCTTGCTCTGGGACATAGACTACCAACTCTCCGTTTCACAGCCATTGATCATATTCCCCCCTTACCCAGAGGGGGAGATAGATCTAAGATGCTTTTACAGAAGGAGGCACGGTGGATACATCGATTGGACACGGTAGCACCTAAGGGGCTCAATGAAAACATCGTGTACTCTATGTTCCTTTAATTTGTTTTCATATACATACTGCCCTATATAACATTTGGGGAATACATATTCCGTTGCTTTGGGACCCTTTAAGATATAATATTTAAATTCCCTAAACAACTTTGGATTTATTAGAGTTAGTATCTCATACTTTATAAATTTATTTTTGACTGTGTAGCATTATTCGTACAAAAATCTTTTGCTTTGATAATCAGATTCTATAATATATGCCTTTAAAGCCTTTAAAGCCTATAGATCAATATTAATAGATGATATATAGACAATAACATAATGTTATACTGTTATTTTTTGTTCATGGCTAATACTTATGTTTTTAAGATGTATGTTTTTGTCTCAGTGTATATAGCTTCTTCACTTTGGGCATTAGTCACTTTACCACATAGTTGTCTTTTGTATATTTTGAACAGGCACTTATTTTTCTATTTTTGCACTGGCACTTTTACTGAATGATCCTACACACACTGCAGATACTGGCTATATATATTGTTTAAATAGCCACTTATATTTCAGCATCCACTCGGTTTTGAAACCAATTTTTGATATGTGTATTGGTTTCCTAGCAACCACGTTCACAGCCAACAGTTGTACACGTAATTCCCTTTACGTTACGTCACTTCTGGTTTTCACTTCCGGGTTCGGATGGGAGGGATGAGGGAACTGTATCACAATTGGTGAGTACACTTTATGCTTTCCTATATATATGTAGGTTTTATGTTTACATATTGATCCTGAGGAAGACCCTATTGGGTCGAAACGTCGATCAAGTTATTTGTAAACCTTCTATGGATTAAATAACATTACTTTTTTCTAAAAGACCTCTGAGTGCATCCTTTTTTCAATTATACTATTTATTAGCATAGGTTTGCACCGGGGCACAGTGATTATTACTTTTTTGAAGCAAGGGTGAGTGCCATTATTATGTTATATTTATATATATATATATATATATATATATATATATATATATATATATATATATATATATATATATATATATATATATATATTTATAGTAAAATACACCTAGACGGTGTACATGTGTGTATGTATATATATATATATATATATATATATATATACTTAGATCATATATGATCTAAGTATATATTATTTTTTTTACACTTTTAACTTATTTAAAATTTTATTCTCAGCCAGCAGGGGGACCACCTGTCATTACAGGCAGCCCCCCTGCTGGCAATACAGAAGCCAGCTATCCCCGGCCATGTGATTGTGGGGTCCTCGCAAGGACCCCACTCTCACACGGCCGGGGGGCTTCGTGGAGGACGGACATGCAGCGGGGGGCTCCCTGGGAGTCCCCCCCACCGCGATCGCCGGCGTGGGACCGCCGGCGACCGGGTAAGTACCGAAAGACCGGAGGGCGTACTATTACGCCCGGCGGCGTTTAGAGCCGCCTATAATAGGGTGTAATAGTGCGCCCTCCGGTCTGAAGGGGTTAAGAGACAAATAAAATAATCAATAAACAGGTCTTTCAAGTTGCCTGTAATTTCTTGTCCTCCATACACAATGTACATGCATCTGTTTATTAAAATCTAATTTTTAATTCCTACTATTTAATGTCAAAGATAAAAACAAACTGCTATTTAACACCTTAGTGACCAGACAGTTTTTCAATTTTTTTGATTTTCTTACCATTTCTGCAGTGTTTGTGTTTAGCTTTAAATTTTCCTCTTACTCATTTACTGGACCAACACATATCACAGACAGTTTTTCCTCGTCATTAAATTGTCTTTCTAAAGATACCATTATGTTCATCATATCATATAAATTTACTATAAAAAAAAAAGAAAATATGATGAAAAAAAAACCAAAAAAAAAAACCCCACTTTTTCAAACTTTGACCCTCAAAATCTGTTACGCATCTACAACCGCCAAAAAACACCCATGCTAAATAGTTTCTAAATTTTGTCCTGAGTTTAGAAATGCCCAATGTTAACATGTACTTAGCGGTTTTTGGAAAGTTAGAGGGCAATAAGTACAAGTAGTACTTTGCCATTTCCAAACCATTTTTATTCAAAATGAACGCAAATTACATTGTAACACTAACAGGAATCCCTGAATAACCCTTCACGTGTATAGTTTTTTTAAAAGAAGACAACCTAAGCTATTAAACTTGGGGTATTCTGACTTTTCATTCAACCATTTTACCACCAATCTATGCCAAATGTAAAAAAACAAACAAAATTATTGGCGATTTTTTTGACAGATAGCAATTTAAGAATACATGTACGGAGAACTTTAAGAGTTACTGCCAAAGAACACCCCAATATGTGTTCAGTAACGTCTCCGGAGTACAGTGATACCACCCATGTATAGCTGTGTCGGGTTCTCTGGGGGCTAAAAGACCTTATATAGAGGGTGCGCATTCCAGTTTTCCAACTTGGAATTTTTAACAGTTGGTCATCATGCACCCATGTTCTATTTGGGACATTTTTGAAGCTAGCCAGTGTAATTTACCCCCAACAAACCATATATTTTTGAAAAGTACACACCCTAGGGTATTTCAAATGGTGGTATTTTAACACTTTCCATGCACTAATTATACCACCTTTGTCAAAACTTTGGGTAGTCATTTTTTTGTTATTTTTCTCTCACATTGTACTTTAGGCACAGATTCTCAGTTCCTGTTATGTGTTACTGACAAAGAACACCCCAATAAGTGTTCAGCAATATCTCCCGAGTACAACAGTGCCCCTAATGTTCAGGTCTTATGGGTTAAGTAGCCACTTAGTCACAAACGCTGGCCAAAGTTAGCAGGTTTTTTTAAATAAAATTTATATACATACATACCTATATACACACACACACACACACACTTATTTCCTATATATGTATAACATATTATAATTAAAGCATTTTATAATATATTATACATATATAATGCATCTATGATTTCATCATAAGTGTATTTTGACATATGTGTTTATATCTCAAAGTACACAAATATTGTTTTGAACGACTGGAGCAGGAAGGGGGGTGGGAACTGCTTACAGCTCTCCCGCTTTGGGGATAAGCCCCAAAATGCACCTTACCACACATGGATGCCTAGACTCACCCCTGCTTGCCAACATCATATTCTCTTCTTGGATTCCACTCGCAACCCATCCACCGATTATTTTAATGCTCTTCAAATCAACTCTTTAAAAGAAACCCACCAATTCCTTTTCTGAATCTATTCTCATTTCTTTCTATTTTACCCACTACACTCTCGTATGAGTTACGAACAGAAGAAACGGTGGACCTCATACATTTTAGATATCTCTTCATTTCGCATTTATTCCCTTTAAAGGCTGTCCAATCTTTATCAATCACTCAGAGCCCATAAGCATTCAACGGCGATGTGACAAACGCTCCTTCCCACGGACTCCTGGATGAGTGTAGAAGCCGGCCTCCTGCCCATCAACAATGGTCCAGGACTGGGACACCGTTTGGGAGTTATTATATATTTAGCCGGATAGAGGACCTAACTACACTGCATGGTTCTGAGTGCTATTTGGAGAACTTGGGCGCTCCAATCAGGGCTATTTAACAATGTATTGTTTGTGTACCCCCTTGTGTTTTCCCTGACTGATTCTGCCCTGGGAGAGGGGAGTTGGGAGGGGAGAATGGCTACCGTTTTGCCCACACACACACGAAGAGACCAGAGACTGCCTTGCACCCACTTGTCCAGGCACACTGGACCCCCAAGGACTTGGACTGTGGACTTAAGGGGGTCCAACAGACTTGAAGGCCCGTCGTGGGTCTGGCCACAAGCCTGTCTATTTCTATGAGGAGAGATATGTGATGGATGGCCTGATTTGTTTGGCGCAAGCCACAAGTTTGTGACTATTTTCCATGTATCTAGATATCGCTGTATTGTGTACCTGTATTCTACATAGAGCAGTATGTGTGTCTGTATATTCAGCTGTGGGTCAACAAAGGGGGGGAATTGGACAGCAGCTCTATAAACTCTAGTTAGGTGTGAAATGTATTCTGTGTGTTAATGTTGCACTGTGAGCGACCTCCTGCTGTGGAAGCCAGCAAGTCAATCTACTACAGCAAAGGGATGTGTTGATGTAACCAGAGATTGCTCTGAAGGGACAGGGGGTACAACCAAGATAACCTTTACTTGTCATGGTCTGTTGGCACAGGGAAAGGTGGTAACTAGCGTAAGGAATCACTTTGTTGCTTTGTAGTTCTTTGTGTCTCTGTGACCTGTTTTGTATTCCCATTGGTGAATTTTTTGTGCAATTGTATGGAGACCCCATGCTGGGGGTCTGTGGATAAATTGGCTGTACCATGTCCCATTAAACAGTTCAGTTGTACTCCCAGAACTATGTGTCGTCTAGTTACTTGGAGGGGAAGAGGCTAATCACTGCTCAGCACCTTGTTCCAGCTCATGGAGGATTCAGCAGGGAAAGTCCTTGTAAGGACTACAGCTCCCAGGACTGTGTGTCGTCCAGTCCCTGGCAGTGAATAGAGCTAGTTCCCTATCCTGTTCCAGGATGGAGAGGCTCCAGGAGGACCCCAGTCAAGCCAGGGTGACTGGGGCAGAAGCGCTGAGGTTTTTTCCCCTGTTCCAGCTAGGAAGCAGTCCTTGGCAGAGGCACCCAAGCAGGGTACATGGAGCTCTGCCACAGGCAACATTGTTTTTAATTAACACTGATTGAAACACGTGCTCCTTTCTTTCTGTTTGTATTTTAGAGTTTTTACTACGTACAGTAATGTTAAAACCTTTGTCAATGTGTAAATAATCAAAAACATGTGCTTGATGTACTCTATTTTGGTGTGATGCATCACTGTTTTCTTTATGTATTTACTGTAAACAATTTTTGATTGCCTCGGGTGTTGCACCACCAGTATGTTGTTCATGTTTCTCATTTGATGTGTGCATAGGCGCATGTATTTTATGACATCGTGATTGAATGCATCCCTTTTAATCAGGAATAAAACACAGGTTTAAAATAGATCAGCATTTGGATATAAACGAACATTAGACATATAGAATTTATAAAAAATAAAATAAAAAATAGATAGTTCCTAGTTCAAGCTATTTAAATTAAGGATAATGAAACTCACTTTTTGTGTTTTCCTTATTGTTGGAGTCATATCCTTAAAGAAATCAGTCTCATCTTCAGCAGAATTCTGTGTGGTTAAGGTACCATTACCCCCTTCAATCTTTATACTTGTTGGGGCCTCTTCGTCCCATGAGCTCCATTCCTCCACCTTAAGGAAAACAAAAGATAATTTTGCCAAGTTACAACGGATGATCGTTAATTACCATAACACATTAAAAGTTTTCCTTAACAATATCCAAAATAGAGCACAAGAGTAAATACTAAAAACAGCCAACAACTCAAATAACTTGCCCATCGGTGGGTCCCTGCTCAGTTCTCAAGTTGATTTTAGTTCATATTGTGCAATTACACAGAGAGCCTAAACATTCGAATATCTGACTGATCCCACCCAAAATAGTGATTCAGATCCAAAATGAAGGTTGGCACCTCTGTACAAAACATACAATTGTTTTAGCTTTGGGGAGCCTGGTCAGTGAGGTGTCGTTGATACCCTCTAGGCATAGAGGGTCTAGATCAGGATTATCCTTTTACTTTAGGGAGACCCACAAGAGAATAGTGAGAAAAGACAACACTTAAATAGCTTGCACTTCGGTAGGTCCCTGCTCAGTTCTTAAGGTGATAGTACCTCATCTTGTACCATTGCATCCATCGTGTAGAGGGAGGCAGCCTGCATTTCGCTTCTGGATCTCCATTTTAGGTAGCATTAGACAGGTATGCAAATAATTAAGGTTTTCTCTGTTATGACACAAGATAAGCTTAAGAACTGAGCGGGGACCCACTGAAGGGCAAGCTATTTGAACTGTTGTCTGTTTTCACGATTCTCTTTAATCATCTTGACTTCACTTTTGGTTTCTTAACCACAGCCTTAGCCACACACCAGATTTTGTTAAAGAAGCACTTGTTTTCCTGGCACTCTAGGGTTATTAGGTCCCCCACCCTTGAAGCCCCCCTCCCGCTGGGATAAAGGGGTTAAAACCCCTTCAGCCACTTATCTTAATCCAGCGCCGGGCTCCCTCTGCGCTGGTGACCTCTCCTCCCCCCGCCGATGTCCACTCCAAAGCGCATGCGCGGACAGAAACGGCCCATAGGAAAGCATTACTCAATGCTTTCCTATGGACGTCCAGCGTGAGTTCAATGCGATTTCAGCATTGAGAATCGCGGAAGCGGCCTATAGTGGCTGATACAGTTGCAAGAAAAAGTATGTGAACCCTTTGTAATGATATGGATTTCTGCACAAATTGGTCATAAAATGTGATCTGATCATCATCTAAATCACAACAATAGACAATCACAGTCTGCTTAAACTAAAAACACACAAAGAATGAAATGTTGCCATGTTTTTATTGAACACACCATGTAAACATTCACAGTGCAGGTGGAAAAAGTATGACATCTCCAAGAGCTAATTGGAGTGAGATGTCAGCCAACTGGAGTCCAATCAATGAGATGAGATTGGAGGTGTTGGTTACAGCTGCACTGCCCTATAAAAAACACACACCAGTTCTGGGTTTGCTTTTCACAAGAAGCATTGCCTGATGTGAATGATGCCTCGCACAAAAGAGCTCTCAGAAGACCTACGATTAAGAATTGTTGACTTGCATAAAGCTGGAAAGGGTTATACAAGTATCTCCAAAAGACTTGCTGTTCATCAGTCCACGGTAAGACAAATTGTCTATAAATGGAGAAACTTCAGCACTGCTGCTACTCTACCTAGGAGTGGCCGTCCTGTAAAGATGACTGCAAGTGCACAGCGCAGACTGCTCAATGAGGTTAAGAAGAATCCTAGAGTGTCAGCTAAAGACTTACAAAACATCCCAGTTAGCAAATCTACAATACGTAAAACACTTAACAAGAATGGATTTCATGGGAGGATACCACAGAGGAAGCCACTGCTGTCCAAACAAAACATTGCTGCACGTTTACAGTTTGCACAAGAGCACCTGGATGTTCCACAGCAGTACTGGCAAAATATTCTGTGGACAGATGAAATCAAAGTTGAGTTGTTTGGAAGAAACACACAACACTATGTGTGGCGAAAAAAAAGGCACAGCACACCAACATCAAAACCTTATCCCAACTGTGAAGTATGGTGGTGGGGGCATCATGGTTTGGGGCTGCTTTGCTGCGTCAGGGCCTGGACGGATTGCTATCATCGAAGGAAAAATTAATTCCCAAGTTTATCAAGACATTTTGCAGGAGAACTTAAGGCCATCTGTCTACCAGCTGAAGCTCAACAGAAGATGGATGTTGCAACAGGACAATGACCCAAAGCATAGAAGTAAATCAACAACAGAATGGCTTAAACAGAAGAAAATACGCCTTCTGAAGTGGCCCAGTCAGAGTCCTGACCTCAACCCGATTGAGATGCTGTGGCATGACCTCAAGAAAGCGATTCACACCAGACATCCCAAGAATATTGCTGAACTGAAACAGTTCTGTAAAGAGGAATGGTCAAGAATTACTCCTGACCGTTGTGCACGTCTGATCTGCAACTACAGGAAACGTTTGGTTGAAGTTATTGCTGCCAAAGGAGGTTCAACCAGTTATTAAATCCAAGGGTTCACATACTTTTTCCACCTGCACTGTGAATGTTTACATGGTGTGTTCAATAAAAACATGGCAACATTTCATTCTTTGTGTGTTATTAGTTTAAGCAGACTGTGATTGTCTATTGTTGTGACTTAGATGATGATCAGATCACATTTTATGACCAATTTGTGCAGAAATCCATATCATTTCAAAGGGTTCACATACTTTCTCTTGCAACTGTATGATTTCAGCTGCAGGGTTAAAACTAGGGGGACCTGGCACCCAGACCACTTCATTGAGCCAAAGTGGTCTGGGTGCCTATAGAGGTCCTTTAAAGATACAGAGGCTCCTATTATTTTTTTGCTTTCTTTTATTTCTCTCAGCAGCAAACAAAAAACAACAAAAAAAAAGGTAATAATTTGCAAGTAAACACAAAAACTGCATGTAAACATTATAACCAATCACAACTGAGAATGGTTTGGGTGTGATGTCATCTAGCACCTCCTCTTTATTTGCAGCTCCCTCCGACTAGTTAGTACAACTAGTGTTCTGTTTTTCTGACTATTTTTGCTATCTTATGTTATGGGGAATAGTTTTATGTTGTTGTTGTTTATTTCAGTGTTCACACTTTCTATTTGGTTGTGAATTTTCTCTGTCCTGGGAGTACACTCAATAATCGAATGGAAACTGCACGCCACCACCTCCTCTCTACATCTCGGATTCGGTATACACTGGCAGTTGACGTCTCCTACACTCCCTGAGCGCACTTCACCTTGCTTCTGTAAGGTTTTTAGGTTACAGGATTACTGTGATGATACGGTCCTTATGGTGCCAAAGGAAATCGAGGCACTGTTGGACAATGCGATGGCTAAATCTATTAAGAGATCCCTCTCTTCAGCCATGGGGGTGTTGTTCTCCTCAATTACACACTTTATTGATCCAGCATTTATGCAAGCACAGCATGTGACCCCTGCAAGCTCCCCACACTTCTACTTAAAATGCCCTGAAGCCTGAATCTTTGGGCAGCAAGGCACAAGCTAAACTGAAACACCTTACCTCACTAATGCCTGACAAGGAAAATCCTCTCCTAATTGACAAGAATAACCATAGCTATTGCGCACCCACTGCACAAATGAAAAAATAAGCCAGATCCTAGAAACGTGATTTGTCCGATTCGGACTTGAGTGAGGACAATTTATCTGAGGGGCCATGTTTGGACTCCTACGGGCACCAAGTTTCCAATTCAGAGGGAAAGCAATTTCCCACACCCACTGGAAATACAGCTTCGGGTTCAGCCATGCCAATTATGGAAGCAGGTGGCGATCTTTTGTATCAAAAATGTATCTCCTATATTTGACTTTGATGACTTATGCTATCCTCTTTCTGCAGATGGGGTAGGCAATTCCGAAGAATTGCTAAGATAAATTACTAGACACACTAGGTCCTGTGACCAAAGAGCTGATTGACAGGCACATTTTAGTTTAACTTTGAGGTGGCAAAAGGCTGGCTCTAACGCAGTCTGCATGTTGGCCAATGGGCAAGCAATGAGCCTGGGGCGGAAGCTGAAGTCTTACTGTTCAGTAAATCTTTCATGAAATATTTGGGCAGTCTTCCGGCCTTGGACAAGGCACAGAGCTCCATGAAATGGGTGCTTTCACCAAAGGTTTTTTTTAAGGGGATGGAATAGCAAGGAGCCGTGTGTCCAGCCATGATGCCTGTGACACAAAGACAAAGCAGAGGCTCCTTTCCTACTCTATCACCTGCCCCAGAATACAAACCCACTTCATTGTTCCCATCTCATGGACGATCCTGGGCTTCACGAGGAACACCCTGGAAGAGACCTTTTGGTGAGTATGCCAACTTTTCTCCCAACACAGTGTGGGGGGGGAATGGATGGATGTTTTTAAATGTCTGCGTACTGCAAACTGTTCAGGAGTACCGATTGGACTTAATTTTTATTCCGGTACATGTATCCGTGCCTCAGGAACTGATGATATCCTAAAACAATCAAATATTGATTTCCAACTAAATCAAATTACTTGCAAAGATCGCTATACAGGAAATCCCATGTCAGATGCCGGGATTCATGAGAAACCTGAGTGCTTGCAGTTTGTCTAACAGCCTCTGAATAAATGCCCCTGTGAGTGGTACTTGCTGGCAAATAGTGGTAAGGTCACTACACGCAGGACAAGATACTGTTGAGGTTTGCGCAACCGCCATCTTAGGTTTATGGTATCCGAATCGAAGCAGACACTCGGAGGCTCATTTGTGCTTTCTTTGTTTTGTTTTTTTTCTGTCCCCTGGTACACATGCAGGCAATTGTAGAAGGTGATCCCAGTTGTATGCGGAGCTGTTTGTATGGTTCGCGGTGTTATACTTAGCTGTACATCACTAATGTGCCAGAGGCTCTGCACCAAGGCTTCCTGTCCCATTCACTTCCAGTCAAGCTTCCTCCCCCTTGCAATATTTTTAATACATGATCAAAATAGTGATGCCACAGTGGATTAGTCACTCAAGCAGCTTTGGGGGAGATATTGCCAGAAAGCCTAATTTGTGAGAATTATAGCAACAGCCAGGTCTTGGCTATGTCAGTTTTAAGGGCATTTAAAATTGTATTAGCGATAGCAAAGTACAGGGTACATCAAGGAGGTTAAATAAACTAAAAAAAATTATATTCACAAAACACAATACCATACTCATTAATCAACATGTGTCAACATAAGAAGAACAAAGTGTTCATTTACATGGCTAAATGTACGAGCATGGGTTATGCTGCACAATGCTAAAATACTTTAGAAACTACAATTAAGCATAATGCTTTACAAAATACCATGCACCAACCTGTTTAGGCACAGAGGAGTAATCCACAGCAGTTGGCAAAGTTATCTGATCTCCGCTTAGCTTCCTGCCTCGTCCAGACCTACAGAGGTAAAAAAAAAAAATAAAAAAATAAAGAGTTAGGTGATCACACTAAAGGAAAATATGAAATGGAAAAAATAAAAAAAATGATAACGATTTTTAAATTCTGGGAAATTCTCTTTAGTAAATAGCACTGTCAAATCATGTTTTCTATAGCTCTGGCAAATAGAGCTGTTTTTTTTTTTTTTTCACTCTACAAAACAATACGTCTGAAAGTTTAAAGAGCTTGTTTCACCTCTAAATTGATATTAAAAAAAAATAATTATATACACATACATACACACACACACACACATTGTCATTTTAGATTTTCTTTACATAAATGTGAAATCAAAATGGTTCACCATGGTTCACATTGCTTTGGCACCTAGAATATTTGTACATATTTATTCACAACTAATGCAACAACAAAAATGGGGAGGAGAAGTTCTGCTAAATACTTCATAAGGTTTGAAGCCACTTCAAATCTTAAAGGGAACCTATTGTCCCAAAAATAACAATTGCTATTTTGGAAAAATAGGTGCCCTTATAGCTTTGTGATCACTGCCCAACCCTACTTTGCTCAGTAAAACTGAAGTTAAATAAAAAGTTTTCTCAACCAGTTTCTAGGCCAAGACTCCTCCACTGCAGCCTCCATCTCCTCGTTCAGTGATATTAGCATCCAAGGTGATATGGCCCGCATCTACTCCAATCCATTGCTTTGCATAAAGAAGAAATTGATTGGAGCTAGGCTTGTGCAACCAAATGTCGCACTCCTCCAATCAAATGCGGTTTTCAGCAGCATTTGATTCTAGGACCGAGTTTCACTCATTTCTGGAGGAGTAAGCTCCTCTAGTTTTAGTCAGAAAGACAACCACTAGAGGTGTATTTAACCCTCCAATGTAAGCAATGCAGTTTCTACTAATCTGCAATATTTTACATTGCATTGTTAAAATGACAGGTTAACTGCACCCAAACAAATTCTATGAGATGAAGTACTCTGTGTGACTTTAGTGGTCCTTTAAAAGCGAGAAAGTATATTACACATAAAATTGTGGGAGACAGTTATAACTAAATTTAATCTACACACTATTCTACCAAAAACTACTTACAGCTGAAGTTTAACTCTTCCTCTATCAATGTGCTAGCTCCAGCCATGCAATATAGGTGATCTAACACTACTTAAAACAAGTGGGATAACACTTAGTGGGTTGAAACCCATGTCAATGTTCACAATTTGAAAACTAAATTTTACCTAAAAAGTTCCACTGTGCCATTTTAGCATGACCAGTGCACTTTGAGAAAGGAAAAATTATACTTCTGTGTGCAGAATGGATTTTCCCTCAATCACAGGGTAGCTGTATTCAGATCCTTATTATGTATTTATGAACTGTCAGCAGTGATACCTGCATATTAGTCTCTTGAAGAAGGAAAGCACAGACGCGAAACAAGTGCAAATTTTGAAGAGTCGAAACTGTGTAATGGCCATCTTGAGGTCGGTTAACTAATGAAGAAAATAAATAAAATGTATTATTGTTCCCATCACGGTTTCATGTCCCATTTAAGTAATAAACCTTGTATAACATTAATAATCACACAGTAACTTTTAGACATCATGCATTACACACTGACTTGTTTGTCTTTCATTGAAGAGAATTAGGCCATGAACAACCATCACATTTTACATGGGTAGTTCACTCCCAGGTCTCCAGATGACATTTGGCAATCTTCAATAATGATATAGCAGTGGGATTAGAATGTTGATAAATATAAATCAATAAATTAATTAAGAGCCACGAACATAAGACAATAACAAATTGCTAATTTGCCCAGGCATACCAACGATACACATGAAAGACATGAAGAAGTTGTAGCAAAGAAGCTCAGCGGATGGAGTTATCAATGGTTAGGAGGCGAATAAAACTTCACTATTAAAAAATAAATAATGCTGGGGGGTGGGGGGGAATGTGCCTATAAGACAATAAGTTAACTTGTTTTATTTCAAACATAGGACAGACAAACATAAAAAGAAACATGTTCAAAAAACATGATATTAATTTCCCACACCAGAACCTTACTCTGATGTTTTTTTATTATTTATGTGAAAAGCAAGAAACAATAATTTAATCTAGAATTGTTTTTAATTGAATTATACAGTTTCTGCTTGGCAAGACGATACCAGTCATATGACACCTACTTCTGTCATTACTGAAGGCAACTAGAAATTCCCAGGTGTTACCATGCATAGCTGCACCAGCATTCAAGCAATTGTGGCACTACTGCACACCTCTAAATTTTTTTGCATGTTTTGGTTGTCACTCGCACATGTTCAGTGTTATACCCAGACTTTTGGCAGTGATTGACAGCTGATCAACAACTTGTTTTTACTGCTGTAACATTGAAGAGAGTCTGCAGAGTGGAAACATTAACCAGTATTTTCTACACAGTCTACTAACAAATGTAGCCTTAAATGTGTTCCTTTAAGTGTAAATACAATTGAAAAATTATTTACCCAAGAACTGTATACCCCGCCAGCTTCATTCACAGCTCTCCAGTGTCATAAAAGTCCAGTTTTCTATGGTCACTGAAATTATCAGAATTAAAAGGAGTGAGATGGATGATGAATCGGATACTAAATATATGTTTATTGTAAAGAAAGTGATGTCTGTGGCAAATAAGGAAACAGGATCAAGTATTCTGAAGCCCAATCATTTGTTAATCTTGAGAATTGTAGTTCAGCAAGAGCTGAGATATTCATCTTTTGAGTCTCCATAAACTGAAATATGTCTTTCATAAAAGTTTGCAGTCCTTTTGGAAGTCAAAATACTACATTTTGTGTCAAACAATAAAAGATTGTTCCACCTGCCACATAACTGGTTAACACCTTCAAGACCAGTTTCAACCAATCCTTTGCAATCATAAAAGTTTTCAGAAGATGAGAATAGTAAATGTGTTACATGAGGACTACAACTCGGATCTGAATCATGGAAATCTTATAGCAAACTCAACTGCATGCATACTAGGAATAACTACCCTGTCACCCAATATGCTCTAAAGTCAAATGAAGAAGCACTTAGCAATGGGGGACAAAAATTTGGAACCTCGTCTACAGTTATCTTTATTGTGAGAGCATCAGAAAAGCAATGCCCTCACTGGTAAAAGAAGGACTGATTACTAAATATTGTTCCACTATGGGAAGGGGGTAAAACAGTTTCTCCAACACTAATAGATCATTATTCTGATGTTATGGTATTGTTCTTGCAAGAGAGAATAGTGGCAGCTTTTCCACAGGTTAATAGAAATTATTGGTATTGCGGCTTCCTGCGTTTGCTCTTTAAGTGCACATACCTTCATATTAAGGTCCAACTAGCCTAAGAAGGACCATTTTGGGTACACTTTGTAAATAATTAAGATATCATGTAAACCCAATGCACAGAAAAGTGATTTACACGACAGCACATTTACTTAAGATCAGAGGTCTGTCCACCCTGAGGTCAGAAAGACTGACAGTGGGAGTGAACTGCTTTTCGACGGTCCAATCCTGCCTAACCCCACACACACACACACACACCTCATAAGCATTCAGGGACATGGAAACAATGATGAATACTGTATGGCATTCTGTCTTGCTGTGGGGTCATGGCAAAAATCTGAACACAGAATGTTGTGTTTATTTCAGTAGAAAAAAAAAAGACCTCCCTGATTTGTAATGGAGTGAAATATTTTTTAATAGTAAAAGACCATCAATACTAGCAAGAACAAGACAGTCAAATACAATTTACAAAAGAAATGTACCATACTTCTGTGTTCATTGCTATTGCGTTTAATAAGGAGAAACTCCTTGTTAATATGCACAGGTGATGGCATAATAAATCTACTGTTAAATAAAGCACTGCCTTTCAATTGAAAACAATGTAAATACGGGTATGTCTCGTCACATTTTAAAAATTCTATATATTTAATATACTTTACACCACTGCCATCAGTGGCGTACATACCAGGGTCGCAGGGGGCGCGGCTGCGACCGGGCCCGGCCCACCAAGGGGCCTGCCCGCCCCTGCGACCCGGTATGTACCCACAGGGCCAGCCTCTTCTCCTGGGGGGCCCAGGAGGTGGCCACCTCAGGGCCCCCCAAGGCTGGCCCTGCTGTCACCGGGCAGGCAGACGGGAGGGCGCGCGAGGGAGCACTCTCTCCTTAGTGCTTCCTCTTCAGCTCCCTCACGCGCCGCATAGGTATGCCGGAGCCAGAAGACGACGTCATCTTCCGGCTCCGGCATCCCTATGCGGCGCGCGAGGGAGCTGAAAAGGAAGCACTCAGAGCAGAGTGCTCCCTCGCGCGCCGGCCACCCAGGAGCCCAGCAGCACCACCACTGGACCCCAGGGAATCCACCCCAGCACTCCAAAAGGTAAGGAGGCTGGGGAGATTAAATTTTTTTTTTTTTTAAGTGTTTGTGTGTGTGTGTGTGTTTGTTTGTGTGAGTGTGTGTGTTTGTGTTAGTGTGTTTGTTTGTGTTAGTGTGTGTCAGTGAGTGTGTCTGTTAGTGAGTGTGTTACTGTGTGTGTCTGTTACTGTGTGTGTCTGTTACTGAGTGTGTTTGATGTCTGTTAGTGAGTGTGTGTTTGTCAGTGAAAGTGTATGTTTTGTAAGTGAGTGTGTATGTATTATACGAGGAAAACAAAAAGAATTAACCTAGGGCCAAAATTTAGATATCACAAGGTAGAGGGCACAAAAAAAAGGGGGGTAACCCCTAAATGGTGAATATCATAGAGAATAAACAAAAAAAAAGAAAAAAAAAATTCTACCTGTGTATGCTTTACTGAGAAGATTGTAGGTTAAAGAGTAACTTTTAATAAATAAATCTAAAATAAAAATATTAAAAAAAATATATAATATAAACAGCAGGAGTAAATGGAGACTATACAGCGAGTACAACTCTGTGACTACTTATACAAGCTGTAAAAGTGTATACTTATAACACTAATGTTGAAGCAATACTGTTTAGCTACAATATAACAGTGTATTCCCAAGTAATAGAAGTGATACTATATTATATATCACTAATAGCTGTAACAAGAGGGGAGGAGATAAGACAACTGCTAAACCAGTGCTGTCAATAGTTAAAAGATATGGATGAGTAAATCCCTACATGATAGTACAACTAACGACATGGGTTAACTCCACATACAATAATTGATAATGTTCTATGGTGCTTAACCTCGGAAAGATCAAAGAAAAAACGGACCCAGGTCAGCAACCCCTTATTTTATACTTTACTGCTTGACAGCAACCTTTAATTTATTATCAAAATGCTGCTATGATCTAGGCAGCTTTTGTGATATTTAACTGGCTAATCGCCGTTTGTCAGAAATCTGTCTTAGCTGAACCATTATCTTTGATCGTTCCGAGGTTAAGCACCATAGAACATTATCAATTAATTTATGTGGAGTTAACCCATGTCGTTAGTTGTACTATCATGTAGGGATTTACTTATCCATATCTTTTAACTATTGACAGCACTGGTTTAGCAGTTTTCTTATCTCCTCCCCTCTTGTTACAGCTATTAGTGATATATAATATAGTATCACTTCTATTACTTGGGAATACACTGTTATATTGTAGCTAAACAGTATTGCTTCAGCATTAGTGTTATTATGTATACACTTTTACAGCTTGCATAAGTAGTCACAGAGTTTTACTCGTGTATGGTCTCCATTTACTCCTGCTATTTATATTATATATTTTTTTATATTTTTATTTTAGATTTATTTATTAAAAGTTACTTTTTAACCTACAATCTTCTCAGTAAATCATACACAGGTAGAATGGCATTTTTTTCTTTTTTTGTTTATTCTCTATGATATTCACCATTTAGGGGTTACGCGGGGTCGCAGCCCTGCAACCAGGTGCCCGCCGCCATGTGTTGCGGCTCCAACCCGCGCCGAGTAAGCGCGGGGGGGGGCCCACGGATCAATTTTCGCCCCGGGGCCCCATGGGTCATGTGTACGCCACGTACGATTTATTTATGGTTAAATTTAACCCTTTTATAATATTATAAAGTGCTGTGGAAACAGTTGGCGCTATATAAATGCCAAAAAAAATAATAAATGTTTCATGAACCACTTATGACTATGGGGAGATTACTAAACCATTCTCCAAATGGGCACTGTGTTATTTAAGGTGGCATAAACTGCAAGACCCACAATGCTCAGCCAAACTAACAATATGGATTGGAGAGAGGGGAGGTAGCAGTCAGGCTGAGCATGATGAGAGTTGTAATTCGGGGCTGCAATGCTATTAAAGGCATGTTAGGAGCAGAGAGGCCGAATTGGTGCAATAACAGGCCCAGCAGGAGGCTGGCTTAGCATGATGGGACATGTAGTCCATTTCAGCCATTGTTCAGCATACAGAGGGCCTGGCTGGGTACTATGCACAGACTCGGGTCCCTGCAAGAGCTCTCCACACTTACCAGCGCACGGGGCTATTCACAAAGGATGCGCCATTGTCCAGAGTCAGCTCAGCCTAGGAAGGCAGGTGAGCGCCGCTGAACCGGATCTTCCTGTTACCCAGAATGCTCCTCCGCCGGGCGATCAGCACACTGGGTGACGGTGCTCCATCGGGTCTCAGTGTCCGGGCTCAGGATGGGGACACGGACTGGGCGAGGAGTCACGGGGCCAGGGGACAGCGGGGCCTGGGACAGGAACAACGGAGGAGCAGGGGAAAAGACGTCTGCTGGTGACGTCAGCACGCGGGCAACGACGTTACGTTGTCGAATGCGGAAATGCCAAAGCCTGGCGGAAGTGAAAGGATGAGCAGTAACCTCTAAGAAACGTGTGCTGCTGTTTGTATCTGTGTGTGCTGCTGTTTGTGTCTGTGTGCGTGCTGCCATCCTTGTGTGCTGCTGTTTGTGTCTGTGTGCGTGCTGCCATCCTTGTGTGCTGCTGTTTGTGTCTGTGTATGCTGCTGTTTGTATCTGTGTGTGCTGCTGTTTGTGTCTGTGTGTGCTGCCATCCTTGTGCGCTGCTGTTTGTGTCTGTGTATGCTGCTGTTTGTATCTGTGTGTGCTGCTGTTTGTGTCTGTGTGTGCTGCCATCCTTGTGCGCTGCTGTTTGTGTCGGTGTGTGCTGCCATCCTTGTGCGCTGCTGTTTGTGTCTGTGTGTGTGCTGCTGTTTGTATCTGTGCGTGCTGCTGTTTGTGTCTGTGTGTGCTGCCATCCTTGTGCGCTGCTGTTTGTGTCGGTGTGTGCTGCCATCCTTGTGCGCTGCTGTTTGTATCTGTGTGTGCTGCTGTTTGTGTCTGTGTGCGTGCTGCCATCCTTGTGTGCTGCTGTTTGTGTCTGTGTGCGTGCTGCCATCCTTGTGTGCTGCTGTTTGTGTCTGTGTATGCTGCCATCCTTGTGCGCTGCTGTTTGTGTCTGTGTATGCTGCTGTTTGTATCTGTGTGTGCTGCTGTTTGTGTCTGTGTGTGCTGCCATCCTTGTGCGCTGCTGTTTGTGTCGGTGTGTGCTGCCATCCTTGTGCGCTGCTGTTTGTGTCTGTGTGTGTGCTGCTGTTTGTATCTGTGCGTGGCTGTTTGTCTGTGTGTGCTGCCATGTGCGCTGCTGTTTGTGTCGGTGTGCTGCCATGCTGCTGCTGTTTGTATCTGTGTGTGCTGCTGTTTGTATCTGTGTGTGCTGCTGTTTGTATCTGTGTGTGCTGCTGTTTGTGTCCTTGTGTGCTGCTGTTTGTGTCTGTGTGTGTGCTGCCATCCTTGTGTGCTGTTGTTTGTGTCTGTGTGTGTGCTGCCATCCTTGTGTGCTGCTGTTTGTGCTGCCATACTGTATGCTGCTGTTTGTCTGTGTGCGTGCTGCCATCCTGTGTGCTGCTGTTTGTATCTGTGTGCGTGCTGCCATCCTGTGTGCTGCTGTTTGTATCTGTGTGTGTGCTGCCATACTGTGTGCTGCTGTTTGTGTCTGTGTGTGCTGCCATCCTTGTGTGCTGCTGTTTGTGTCGGTGTGTGCTGCCATCCTTGTGCGCTGCTGTTTGTATCTGTGTTTGTGCTGCCATACTGTGTGCTGCTGTTTGTATCTGTGTGTGCTGCTGTTTGTATCTGTGTGTGCTGCCATCCTTGTGTGCTGCTGTTTGTGTCGGTGTGTGCTGCCATCCTTGTGTGCTGCTGTTTGTGTCGGTGTGTGTGCTGCCATACTGTGTGCTGCTGTTTGTATCTGTGTGTGCTGCTGTTTGTGTCCTTGTGTGCTGCTGTTTGTGGCTGTGTGTGTGCTGCCATCCTTGTGTGCTGCTGTTTGTGTCTGTGTGTGTGCTGCTGTTTGTGTCTGTGTGTGTGCTGCCATACTGTATGCTGCTGTTTGTCTGTGTGCGTGCTGCCATCCTGTGTGCTGCTGTTTGTATCTGTGTGTGTGCTGCCATACTGTGTGCTGCTGTTTGTGTCTGTGTGCGTGCTGCCATCCTGTGTGCTGCTGTTTGTATCTGTGTGTGTGCTGCCATACTGTGTGCTGCTGTTTGTGTCTGTCTGTGCTGCCATCCTTGTGTGCTGCTGTTTGTGTCTGTCTGTGCTGCTGTTTGTATCTGTGTGTGCTGCTGTTTGTATCTGTGTATGCTGCCATCCTTGTGTGCTGCTGTTTGTATCTGTGTGTGCTGCCATCCTTGTGTGCTGCTGTTTGTATCTGTGTGTGCTGCCATCCTTGTGTGCTGCTGTTTGTGTCCTTGTGTGCTGCTGTTTGTGTCTGTGTGTGTGCTGCCATCCTTGTGTGCTGCTGTTTGTGTCTGTGTGTGTGCTGCCATACTGTGTGCTGCTGTTTGTGTCTGTGTGCGTGCTGCCATCCTGTGTGCTGCTGTTTGTATCTGTGTGTGTGCTGCCATCCTTGTGTGCTGCTGTTTGTGTCTGTGTGTGTGCTGCCATCCTTGTGCGCTGCTGTTTGTGTCTGTGTGCTGGTATCCTTTGTAGGGTCACCACCTTTCTTGGAGTAAAATACCGGCCGTGCTAATTTGCATAATTAATTAAGTATTTATGACATCACAGGACACAATGTTAATTCTTGGAAGAGGAAAGTTCCCTAAATTGCTAAAATACTAATTACAATGTGTACTATGTCTGACTGTGTGTGTAGCATTGTGTATGTGTAGCAGTGAGTGTAAGCGTGCATACTGTGTTAGAGTGTAGGTGTAGTATTGTGTGTATACCATATCTGATTGTGTATGCTGTATGTGTGTTTGTGGTAGTGTCTCATTATGTGTGTACCGTGTCTGACTGCAGGTGTAATCATACAGAGACTTACAGACTCAGGCACTATAATACAGAGACATACTGCCATACACAAACAAACAAAAACATACAGACTAAGACAGACACTGTCATACAGAGACATACGGTCGTATACAGACTCAGGCATACAGAGACATACAGACACTGCAATACACAGACAAATGGACTCCGGCATACAAAGACATACAGACAGTGCCATACTCAGGCATATAGACACAGGCACACAGAGACATACATACATACACAAACAGAAACACACAGGCATAGAGAGACATACAGACTCAGTCAGACATTGTCATACAGAGACGTATGTTCGTACACATACAGACTCAGGCATACAGACACTGCAATACATAGACATACGGACTCAGGCATATAGAGACACACACAGCCATACAGACACTGCAATACACAGACATAAAGACAATGCCATACTCGGGCATACAGACACAGACATACAGATACTGTCATACACAGACATTCAGATTCAGGCATAAAGTCATACATGCAGTTTAAATTAATAAATAAAAATAAATGTTGCTATATATTTATATTTCTTCTTTACGTCCCTAAGTGTCCCCATTTTCTACACTGAGCAAGTCTGATATCCTCTACGAAGCCTCCTAGCAGACAGACCTGGCTACTTACGTTTCTCTCTCTCTGTCCGTTTGTGGAGGTGATACTGCAGACCAGAAGTGCTGTTAGCTGCTCTGCCTCGTAATCTCTTCAGTGCATGCAATGCAGGCAGGAGACAGCCACAGCACACTCGCAGAGCAGCACTCTTCACTGTGCAGTGAGCGTGACAGTGAGGAGAGGAAGCAGGAGCGAGGGGGCAGAGCTTAACGTCACTCAGCGTATCTCTCAGATTTGCAACTATGTATCTCTCCCCATGTTCACTGAGACTGGGAGCAAGGAGAGTTGTCTGGGAGTGTGGGGAGAGACATATACTTGCAAATCTGAGAGACACATTATCAGACTTCAGTCAGACAGAAATATCAGCCCCTGCATTGCCGGTATTCCTGCAATACCACCACTGGCCAAACAGCCTCAAATACCAGCTGTGTCGGTATTACCGGCCAGGTGGCAACCCTATTTGTATGCTGCTGTTTGTGTCTGTGTGTGTGCTGCTGTTTGTCTCTGTGTGTTGCCATCCTGTGTGTGCTGCCGTCTTGTGCATGTTGATGTGCTGTGTGTGCTGAATGGGACTTCTACAGCATACCCTAATGAATTAATAACATGTATAAACACTCATAGGTTAGTAACACGCATACTGTGTGTCACGCTAAGGGTGCATCATTCATTGATGTACTATAGAATATAGCTGGTTCAGGGCTTGACAAATTTGCTTTGAATGTAGGAGCCAGCTAAAAAAGTTAGGAGCCAGTTTTTTTCAAAGACAAAAAAAAGTAAAATTTTAAAAGGACACAATAGTCATCAAAACCACTACAACTTAATGTAGTGGCTCTGGTGACTATAACCTATTCCTGCAGGCTTTTCAATGTAAACACTGCCTTTACAGGGAAACAGCAGTGTTTACATTACTGCCTAGTAACACCTCCAGTGGTAGTCCAAAGCATTGGATTAAATGATATCATCAAGATAATCTCAACTATGGATGCTAGCCAGCTGCGGCGAGACCAGCACGCAGTTGGAAAAAAAGACATTGAAATTAAAACAACATTTAATAGTACCACCAGATAAAAGACATCAACTCAAAGCAGTAAAAATAGTCAATCATACATAGATACAAGTCTGCACAGTGGCTAAGTTGCAATGCTGTAAGGACAACTACAACATTAACGCCTGTTTAATAAGATGTTTCAAATGTAGGTGTAATATAAGTCATAGAAGAAAAACAGAAAGTGCACTGTAAAATATATATAGAGAGAGATCCTCCAAAAAATGAAGGAATGTTCACTTAACAGTGAACAAGATGTAAATAAAATTAAAACTGCTTGAAAAAATAATAGAAAAATCAGTACAAAATACCACAGTAAAAGCAATACAATAGCCTTCTAAAACTAGCATATATCTAACAGAGTCAGTGATGGGTCACACAGATGTTCTGTGTCCGTGGAAGGCCCCATCCACCAATCCAAGGGATGCTGATATATCGGATAATAATACGACAGGACGTTATCAAACTAGTGATGTCAGCGGGCTCTCCCTGGTATGTGGTATATATCACTGATGGAAAAATATAAAAGACTGTACCGTACAGGAGGTATATGTCTGGGGAGCACACAAAGCTGAGATCTTGTGGTGTGCCGCTGCTGCCGGTATCTTCAAAAGAGGCCTCGGCTGCCTTAAAGGAGCAGTGTCAAACGATCTGGATCAAAAAGCCAGTCTATGCGTTTTGTCCCCTTCAGGGACTTTATCAAGACTAAATTGTGCAATTCATTCAATCCAACATTTATACCCAGAGGGAGGGAGAAAAAAGAAAAGTAAGGGTGAAAAGGGAAACCAGACATGGAATAATAATCATGACACACATTTAATTCCCACAAAATTTTATTAAATTTCCCAAGCTGCATAGAACATGAAAATGGTCTGTATAATAGGACCTCTACCACAATTAAACAACAGGTGGAATATATAAAAAAAAACTATATATAAAGGCAAGAATACTTAATAATCAATAAATAATGTAATTAATATATATATACACCAAACATTCTGTATAAGAGGTCAATTAGCACATAGAGTAATAATAATAGTCAGTAAGATAGTTAATGAAATAGTCGACTAGCTACCAACTTTTCCCCTTGTGGTTAACTTTATCGGTAACCGATAGATACACTCAAGCCTCAATTGCTAACCGCATCAAAGACAAGTATAAAATATGGAAACCCTTGTGCTTTAATCCAATTCTTTATTTAGGCCATGTCGATACAAAGTATCTAGTTTAACAATCCATTTTGTTTCTGTAACATAAGATATCCTTTTTCTCCTGGCTAGATCATTTTTTGGGGGGATTAACTCTATCCCAATAACTGATAGATGCAGCGGGTCACTGTCATGAACACCTTGAAAGTGGTGTGCCACTGGTGACTTTTGATCTTTATATAGGATGGCCAACCTATGTTCCCTGAATCTGTTTTTCAAAGCTCTCGTGGTCTGTCCCACATAGTGGAGGCCACAACTGCAAGTTAAAAGATAAACTAAAAAGGAAGACTTTGGTTTCTCATATATTCACCTTCACCCAAGGAAGAGTTAAATTGAGTGACTTTGTGGCTGAGGAACTTGCACATAAGGCAGCGAGTACCATCACATCTAAAATTCCCAACACTAGTATTTCAAATCTGCTTATGGATATCTGAGGAGGCGAATTTAGAAGGAGCCAGGATGTTTTTTAAATTTTTACTTCTTCTAAAATTGACTCTGGGACTATTAGCAATGCTGAATTTTAACCAAAGATCCATCATAAAGCGGCACTGTCATGGCCGAATCCTGTTTTTTTTACCCCCCCTCACGACTCCACTACATCTAACTGACCCCCTAGTCACCCCCAAATGTCCCTAAGCTCCCAACATTACCTATTTTTTTATCTTTATTTTTTGCCCCGACCTATATTCTGGGCGCCGCCATCTTTGTCTGGGTAGATGAAGTCCCTGTGGGACACATCATCTGCCCACACTAGATAGCACTATGAAATTCCCGCACATGACCAGCCTGTGGCAGATCACTGTTAAAAAAACCAAAACCCTAGAATTCGGCGGGTGGGGGCCATAAAAGACAAAGGGGGGGACCTATTGTCCTACCCCCTCCTGGCCCCCACCCCTGAGCTGTGGGTGGGGGCCATAAATGATAATGAGGGGGGAACCTATTGTCCTTCCCCCCAGCCCCCATCCCTGAGCGGCGGATGGGGGCAATGAAAGACAATGAGGGGGGGACCTATTGTCCTACCCCCCGCCCCCCCCGAGCAGCGGGTGGGGGCCATGAAAGACAATGAGGGGGGGCCTATTGTCCTCCCCACCCCTGAGTGGCTGGTGGGGGCCCTAGATTAAAATGTCCCCCTCCCTCCTTCTAAGGTGACTAGGGGTCCCCAAGCCCCTAGTCACCCCCCCCCCACCCAAATAAAAAGAATCCCCTACCTACCCCCCTCACCCTAAAAATAGTGAGGGGGGAATAAAATAACTAACTACCTGTAAAAAAAAATAAAACTTACCATTTCATGTCTTCTTTTTTCTAAAAAAAAAAGGCCAAATAAAAACCATAATACTTATCGAACGTGTAAAAAATAAAATAAAAAAACCTACCCAATTTATGTCTTTCAGCCTTTTGGTAGATAGCTCCCTAATACCGTGCGAATTAGAAATGATCCGAACAAAGTCCCGAATTGCGTTCTAACAGGAATTGAGAAACTGTTCTCATTCTGTTAGGACGCAATTAGGCAGTTTTGCCGGTGTTCTGTCTAAGTGACAGGACGTTCTGCAATAAATGACAGGAAGCATCGCGGGAACACGGAGGAAAGCTAAGAATTGTGGGAAAATTTCTCTGACCACCGGAAATGAAGCACACTTTGCTCCTCCGCTGGCCAGAGATGGTCAGGCGTAGGAAACCTTAAAGAAAACTAGAGCAGACAGGAAGAAATGAAGAACAAATCCTGACAGAGGGAGAGAAGAGGAATCGATTAAAGAAAGGTAAGTTCGGCATGACAGTGCCACTTTAAAGGAACACTATAGCGTTAGGAATACAAACGCTATATTGGACTTTTTATGTTGGACTCATTTGCTGACCATATCTGTGGCAGATTAGCAGGCAGAGTGGATCACAACCTGCCCCTATCTTGCTCAAGTGGACATCTGACTGAATAAAAAGAGTAAGACTGGAATTCTTGTTATCCTCATCCAGTATTGGACTGTATACTGGTGAGTCGTGGAACTCTTGCTGGACCTTCTTACTGAGACTTCTTACTAAGAAATAGTAGAAGTCTTTAGCATATTCCTGGCTGTAACAGCTCATCCTCTTTCTGGTACTCAAATAAGTGTCTTTTCATTTACATTTTGTAGGAGTATGATCAGAGCATACACATACCCTAGACTAGGGGCATAGTAACAGCATAATAGGCCCCCGGGCAAAGCAATGCACTGGGGCCCTGCCTACACAACTACTCACAGGAATACAAATATTAGTTATTGATAAAATGAAGCTTATATTTATTGGTACCTTCAACAAATAAAATACATACACACAGACTGCTGAATACACACACACAAACTGCTGAAGAAACACAGACTGCTGAATACACACACACACACACACACACACAGACTGCCAAATATACACTTACAGACTGCTGAATACTCACACTCACAGACTGCCGAATACACACACTCACAGACTGCTGAATACACACAGAGACTGCTGAAC